TGCAAAGGTCCCCATGCATCTCATCGGTGCAAGTTCAAGTCTGCAACTTGTTATAAGTGCAGTAAGCAAGGTCACATTGCCAAGGCCTGCTTTGCAAAGTCTTCGTCTGTTGCTAAATCTAGCCAGTCAAGACAGTACCGCAACCAAAGGCAGCACTATGTTAACTCTCACCAAGACTACCTAACCCAACCAATGAACCACTCTACCTGTGAAAATGCTCAAACTGATTCGCAGCCGGATTTCAACCTATTCTCTGTGAAATCAATAAGTCATGCTCCCATCAGTGTACTAGTTAATATCAACGGTAAGAGCATCAGCTTCCAACTTGACACTGGAGCATCTCTAACAGTCATAACAAAGAAAGATTTTGACGCTGTCACAGGAGGATCAGTGCCTCTACAACCATGTCACAAGTGTCTAACAACATACACTGGTGACAATGTTCCGGTAATAGGAGAGTGTATGGTTCATGTAAGTTATAATGGTCAAAGTGTTAAACTTCCTCTTCTTGTGGTTGAAGGAAATGGACCACCATTACTAGGTAGGAACTGGTTAAGTGATCTTAAGTTAAATTGGGAGAGTATTTGTTCATTGAAGAATGTAAAAGAATCTAGTCTTACTTCACTAGATAGAGTTATATCTGAAAATAAATGTGTTTTTGGTAACTCTGGATTACTAAATGATAGAACAGTGAAGTTAAGCATTAAAGATACAAATCCAAGATACTGCAAAGCTAGAGTTCCACCTTATGCAATGAGGAATAAAATTGAAAATGAGCTAAGTAGATTGGAATCTAATGGCATTATAAAGAAGGTAGACTATTCCGATTGGGCGTCGCCCATTGTGCCAGTGTTAAAGAAGGATGGTTCTATAAGAATTTGTGGAGATTATAAAACTACACTGAATAAGCAAATAGAGCTAAATAGGTACCCTATACCTAACATTGAGGAAATTTCTTTGAATTTGGCAGGAGGAGACAAATTCACTGAATTAGACTTTAGTCATGCTTACACTCAACTAGAACTGCATCCAGATTCAAAAGTCTATACGACAATAAACACACATAAAGGACTCTACCAATATGAAAGACTATGTTTTGGCATATCATCTAGCCCTGGAATTTTCCAAGCTGTCATGGACAGTATTTTTAAGGACATTCCAAATGTTTGTGTGTACTTTGACAATGTGTACATAACTGGTAAGAATGACACTGAACATCTTAAAACACTTGATAAAGTCTTGAAAATTGTTGGTGAAAAAGGTTTAAAGATAAACAAAGATAAATGTCAATTCATGCTGACAGAAATTAGTTTTCTTGGTTATATATTAAGCAAACAAGGCATCAGACCTCAACCTGAGAAAACAAAAGCCATTAAAGAAGCACCCAAACCTGAAAATACCCAACAACTAAGAGCTTTTTTGGGCTTGATAAATTACTATGCAAAGTTCATAGGAAATCTGTCTGGTAAACTATCACCACTGTACAAGCTGCTACAGAAAAATGCAACTTGGCACTGGGGTAAACAACAAGATACTGCTTTTAATACAGCAAAAGAGGCTTTGTCTTCTGACACCTTACTAACTCACTATGACCCAGGGAAAAGACTTATATTAACATGTGATGCTTCACCAGATGGTGTAGGAGCAGTCTTGTCCCACATGGATGAGAAGGGTGACAGACCCATTGCTTTTGCCAGTAGATCTTTGAACCAGGCTGAGAAAAATTATTCTCAGTTAGATAGGGAAGGCTTAGGCATCATTTTTGGTGTTAAGAAATTTCATAAGTTTCTGTTTGGTAGGAAGTTCACCATCTTTACAGATCATAAACCATTGCTAGGTTTATTTGGAGAAAACAAAACCCTACCTGAGCATGCCTCACCAAGAATTCAAAGATGGGCTATCACACTAACTGCATACAATTATGAATTGAAATACAAACCTGGATCTGAGAATAGTGCAGATAGTCTTAGTAGATTACCTTTAAAAAACCAAAGCCTTAGCTATGTACCAGAAGATGTATTTGTTCTCTTCACTATCATGGATAACTCCAATATAAATGTGAATGATATTAAAAGAGAAACACAAAAAGATGAGTGCTTAATAAAAGTATATGAGCACTGTATGAATGGTTGGCCTGAAGAGTCTGTGAATGATGACTTAAGGCCATATAAAATAAGAAATTAAAACCCTTTGTGAAGATAATATAAAAGATGGAGAAGATGCAGTCCATTATCAGTCAGAGTTGCCTAAACAAAGTATTTGTAACTTAATAAATGATTATGGTGATATGGCAATTTCAAATGTTTTAAAGAGAATACATTAGTAAGAAGGAATGTGATCATCAAACAACCTTGCTAACATCATTAGCACTTACAGAATCTAAAAGGGTAACATCAAAGGTAAATACCAAACAGAAGAAGCTAAAGGTGACAATGAAAGAGTAAACAGGTTATTAGCCAAATACCGCACAACTCCTCATATAACAACAGATGTTGCACCATGTGAATTGCTATGTGGTAGGAAAATTAAAACTCATCTTGACCTACTACATCCAACTGTTCAAAGGTCTGTTTCCCAACATCAACATACACAAAAAGTAAATCATGACAAATCATCCATTGAAAGAGAATTTGCAGTTAATGATAATGTGTATCTAAGAAATTATGGGAGAAAGGAAAAATGGATACCAGGTCAAATTGTTCAATGTACAGGACCTGTGTCTTATAAAGTAAAAACAAATGATGGACTTATTGTCCGTAGACATGCAGACCAGTTAAAAATAACTTGTGCAGATAATAAGTGTGAATCTGTCAATCCCACCAAATCTGATCAGTTCACACCAACTCAGTTTGTTCCACAACCAAGTTCTGTTGATATGAGTGAACCAAGTTGTCTGGAGTCAGAAAATGTAAATTCTGGAGTTAGTGATTTAAATCCTAGACCTCCTGAGATAGAGAATCCAGATGGTCAGAATATTGAGTCACCAAATCAAAGGCCACTGAGAAGGTCAAGCAGGACAATCAAAGTCCCAAATAAGTTAGACCTATGATTTTAAAGGTCAAAAGGACTTTGACATCATTGTTTTGTATCTTGATTATGTTGTAGCATATTGTGCATCGTTTGTAAGGATGTAATCTACCATAGTGTTCATGTTACAATATAATTGGTGATTTTAGGATACTATCTATTGTTCTATTGAGAGATGTGTTATTGTGTTCTAAGGGTAAAGGGATGTAATAGATTGAGATAATTGTGAGGTCAAGGGAACTCACTCTTCTGTATTAGTATTATATTTATATTGTTATCTTGAGTGATGTCCCTTGTGCATTGTACTTCCTTCCGCCTCGCTCTCTGTCTGGTTATCATCATGTAGTTAGACCCAATAAACGTTATATACAACCACATGCTTCTATCGTCAATCTATTATAGAGTCAATGGCCTCAATGGCGCATAACCAGTTGGCACGTATCCTTAATTGTGTTGGAAGGGGATCCCCTTCAACACTAAAATTAAGAGCGGAGAAGAAGAAGAAGACTGTCACTGAGTATACTATCAGCCATTTCAACATACATAGCCATATAAAAACAAACGCATTTTTTTCACAAATCATTTTCTAGGCTACCGATTAAATTTGATAAATAAACTTGGTATTAAATTAAAGGTAAATAAATATAGTTTTTAATTGTTTAAGTCATCTTGAACAATAATTAAGTTTAAATATACTTGATTCAAGAGCCAAGCTGCACCAGGCGCATCTGCCAGTTTCATTACCCGCAGTGGTCCAGACTCCCCCGTGACCAATTAGATCCTACGCTCGTTTTGAAAAGTCCACTTGCATAGTCAAATTAATGTAATAATTTTTACTCTGGTATTATACCGCCTCCCCAGGTTAATTCTACTTCACTTGCCCCATGGACCATCAGGTTTGAAAAGGGAGCTTATTTACCCCTCCCTCCCCATACACACATGTAATGTGTTTCAGTAGCGTAGCGAGATCGGGTGTCACCCGGTGCGGCTCTGCACTTAATGGTGTCACCCCCCAGAGGTGTAGCGACCCTTCCGGGGACAAACTTTCGATTTGCACACCCCCTCCCCCTCAAACTTTCGATTTGCACCTCTTAAAAGCTATTTAACACTCGAATTAATCACTTAATTAAGTTATGTGGAATTATCATTTTTCTCTATATATTTTGCTATTTTTTTGCCTTGATGTCACCCCCCCCCCCCGCCCCCTCGCTTCGCCACTGATGTGTTTTGTAAATTACTTTACATAAAGTGATAATATAATAGCAATACTAATTCACCAATTTAATTCTTATCAAATGATTCCCCCCCCCCCCCCGTTAAATGCTAGTAGACTGTAAGAAAGATAAACAAAATGTTTTGAATGCATTAGTATAATTATTATCAGCACTTAAGTTAATTGAAAATATAGATCTATTTGGTTATTTTAACCAAAAATTGGTACAGAATATTATTAAATTTAAAATTATTATTATTAAATTAGATTAAATAATTTTTAAAAATGTCTAACAAATATGCGAAAATTACATTCATATATTAAGTCTAAATTAAACTTTTTGTATATGAGAGCTTTCAAACTATAACTTCAGCTCAACGTCGAAAATATAGAATAGATGTATTAATTTGTTACAATATTATTAGGCTACTAATTATAGACCCACCTAATAATAATATTGATTAAATTTGAAAAATAGCATATAAAATTTGGAATTTTGAAAATGCTAAAAGTTTTGGAATTGTATAGTGGTATAGGAGGAATGCATTGGGCATTAAAAGGTTAGTTGCTAAAATAAAAAATGGTAATCTATCGTTTTGGGTACGTAAAATCGCCCGCGGCTATTTATGTACGAAAACGTTACCTCACTGTCAAGGCTTTAATAGAAGTATATTAGTATATTGTCATACTTGTGTGTCAAATATTATAGATAAATGAATAATAAACCTAGATTTCTAAATCAATGGCTAAATATATCGATACAGGCCAGAAATTAACTTTAAACAGCAGTGTCTGAGAGCAAGATTTGCTATATAAACAGCAGCCATTTGTAAAACAGAGTGGCTTCCCCCTGAATCTGGCGCTAAAAGCTTATAAATATAAAACTTAGACAAGATGGCTGCTATAGTAAATGAGCATGGTTGCATCTGTTGGAAACATCGCTAGTCTTCATTTATTACGGAAAAGTTTTAATTCAATTGTTTAAAAACAGGTACATAAATGAATCAAGGAAACATTTTTGAATTTTTTAAAACATAAATCTTCCTCAAAATGTGAAATAATTATTAAAATTTAAGGAGTCACCTGTTTTTCACATTACAAATCGCGGGCGATTTTACGTACCCAAAACGATAGATTACCTAAAAAATTAAACAAGTACCAGACAAACCAGGTCTCTGTCTGTAGTGCTGTTTATTCTTTATATTCTTCCGGCTAGAATCTGCCTTATGTTTTTGTTTGTTGGTTCCACTAGACTGTAGATTGTAGATTCTTGTGTAGAACTTTGAAAATAAAATACTTTTTTGTAGAGAAAAATGTTCTTTTTTCAAAATATGTTACAGCAGTTAGAATAGATTGTTGTTAGGACCTAACTAAGAGTAGTCCTTAGATCTAGATCTAGCCTCTAGGTCAGGGGTCTCCAAACTACGGCCCGCGGGCTGGATGCGGCCCGCGATGTCCTCTCATCCGGCCCGCGGAGATCTTTTTGACCACGGAAAAAACGTTTGTTGCTGATGGATGAGGAACCTTGTCCAGAAAAATCAAAGAAGAAACTGGCCCCCGAATTGAAATTTGATAGTTAATGCGGCCCTCGGACTGAAAAGTTTGGAGACCCCTGCTCTAGGTCTATAGTATATCCTACACAAATTGGTAATCTATCAGTATCACTTTGGGTATGTAAAGTAAAATTGTTTGAAGTTAGTAATGTGAGAGAAGGGTGACTAATTAAATCTTTTTAGTTATCTTTTTTATAAATTTAAGTTAGAATTTCAGGGGAAACAACAGTAATTAATTTACCTTACTGTTTCGGTAAGGTAGACAAAATTTCATAAATGAGATCTTATACTTGAATAACTTTCAAATTTTGAATGATCTCTAAGTCTAATATCCGGAAGTGGTACTTTATTTCTGGTTTCCAAAATACTGATAACCTAAGTATCAGTATCATTTAAATTAGATGAATGGAGTTTTATAGATAGTTAGACCTATGGGACCTTTTGCTATTTCCAATTTCTCAAAAAATATTATTTCAACTGGACTGATTTGTTTCAAAAATTTGATAAAGGTTAAGACTATTACAATGCACTGTGACTTAAATTGTGGCTTAATTAGATGTTTACTTTCAAAAATTAATAATTAATGTTTCCTTTATAGTTATAAAGTATAGTTTTTTCTGCTCTATTATGCACACATTGTTTGCTTTCAATTTGGTGCACAATTCTTTAGTTTTACTTGATTCTATTCTATTTTTAATTTAAAAATTGATTATTAGAAAATTAATAAAAAAAACATTTCTTTATCCTGAATAGCAATCCCATTGCCTGTTAAATCAGAGTATATCATGTGAGAATGATTAGGGGAGGTCACTCCTGCTTTATTATTAATTTTCAGAACACACCATCTAATTTTTTATTTTTACTATTAAATAGAGCTTATGTAAGAACTGCATCATTGTATTTATGAGTTTTGCGTTTTGGTAAAATATTATTGAACTTAAAAATTCGTAATAGTCTACAAACAAAGTGCATTAAACCTTATGATTTTTTTTTAATATTTAGGCCTCAGCATTCTATAAAAGACTATTATAAACTATTAATGTTTGACTATTTTTTAAGACAGGGGTCTCCAAACTATGGCCTGCGCACTGGATGCGGCCCGCGAGATCTTCTCATCCGGCCCGCGGAGATCTTTTTGTCCATGGAAAATTTGTTTTGTTGCAGGTGCAAATACCAGTGCCCACCATGTTTCAGACATTGGTGAAAACATTGTGACTCAAGTAGTGAAAAATGCAAGTTTTGCCATTTTTCAATTGCAATGGATGACTCGCTGGACAGCTGTTCAACATCTCAACTGCTTGTATTCATTAGAGTTGTGGATGAAGACATGAACATAACACAAGAGCTGGCTTCCCTACATAACATACATGTATGTCACTGTTACCAGAGAGGATATATTCAATGAGTTTAAAAGTCATTTGCTGATTATAACTTGGACTGGTCTAACCTCAGTTACCAGAACTTCATGTTGATGGAAGAAAGTACATGAGTGGCATAAAGAAAGGCTTGGTTGGACAAGCGATTGAGAAAAAACATTCTACAACCAATGTTCCTGCACTGTATTATTCACCTGCATGTTTTGTGTGCTGAATATATGGACATTAGTAGTGTACTGAATCCTGTGGTGAAAATGTTAATAAGGTCACAAGGGCTCAACCATAGACTGTTCAGTGACATATTGAGAGATACAATCACAGAATCACAAGGTCTTCATGGCTGAAGCTACAGCTGAGTTCCCAGCATCATTTGCAAGCGAGATCATCAACAAAGACCTCCAGCTGCAGTTTCAGTAGCGGTTTTCTGACTGATTCAAAGGCAGAAGAAGTGAGACTGTTTCAAAACCCATTTGAAGAAGATGTTGCCCAGATGAACTGCAGCTGGAGATGATTAAGTTGCAAGCTAATGACTTCCTTAACTAAGGACAAGTTCAAAGAAGGGTTTTTCTAAGTTTTTTGCCCAAGGAAGACTTTCCTAATATTAAAACTTTTGCATCAAAGTACCTTTCAGGAACAATATACCTGTGTATGGATGGAAATATGTCAAGAACAATTTGAGAACAAATTTGGACCTTGAGTGTGTTGTCGGCATCCGATAGTGTTTCTTTCAGACTTTTTTCCCCTTGGGGGGGGGGGGAGGTACTTGAAATTTGTATATATTTCTTTATAAATTCTTCGGGGGGGGGGGGGGGGAAGATGGATGCATGGAAGAAACTGGCCCCCAAACTGATGATAGTTAATGCAGCCCTCGGGCTGAAAAGTTTGGAGATCCCTGGTTTAAGAGTTGCAACCATATTAATCTATCCTTTATATATATATATATATATATATATATATATATATATATATATATATATATATATATACCTTTTTGGTGTTTGTTGACTTATAAATTTTACATTAATATTTTTGGTTATTACTATATCAATGTCATCCATTTTACATTGCTCATTCAGAAATAGGTTTACCTTATAAGGTTGTCCTGGCTGTTGACATCAACACTACAGCTAACAGCATTTACAAGCACAACTTCCCTGATGTTAATTTGCAAAGTCTTGGAATAGAGGTAAGAAAAAGTACATTTGTTCATATAATTTTACAGGAGTAGGCTGCTATCATTACTTCCTACCCAGTTAACTACTCGGAGGTCGGTGACAGGACAAATGATATCATGGACAAAATATCTCACAGACAAAAGATACCAGGACAAATGATATCATGGACAAATGATCTCAGACAAAATATTTCAGACAAAATATCTCACAGCAAAATTCTAAGTATATTCTGAGCCAGCACCAAGCCAGCTGAGTATGTCTCATTAAGTGCATGGACTGGCTGTGTCTAAGAGGCTCAGAAATTTTAAAGGCACCCCCACCCAACACCAGATTAAAAAAAAATTTTCATTGTGCATTTTTTCCTTTCAAAGCCTGAAATATACACCTTGATATGAAATGGTTAAAGTAAAATAATGGAGAAATTATAAATAACAAATTTAAATCAAAACACTAGTTATCTCCTAGGGCCAACCAAGATATTTTTAACATTCATAATTATTTCAGAAAATATCCTTGAAAATGATTGAATCTCTCTCAATCAATACTATCCTGATGAGCCCACCATGTCAGCCGTTCACAAGGGTTGGCAAGAAAGGAGATTGCAATGATGTACGCACAAAATCTTTTCTTCATTTATTGCAAATTCTTATACAGTGAGTCTGTTTAGATATACAAACTTTTGACTTTTTTACAGAAACGCTTATAGTCAAGTTATTTATGTATGTGTTTGTTCAGCAAAAAATGAAACAAGTATTAAAATTATCATTAACTCTCAATATTTTAATTTTTTTCAATTTCAGGTTGAAAGAGAAACCCTTGTATATTCTTGTAGAAAATGTCAAGGGTTTTGAGGTCTCACAAACACGCCAGAAGCTGGTTGAATTTTTGGTCGCAGGAGGCTACACATTTCAAGAGTTTTTGCTGACTCCGTTACAGTTTGGGATCCCCAATTGTAGATTACGTTATTATATGATAGCAAAATTTAAAAAACCATTCTGCTTTGTCTGTCAATCTCAAGTAAGAATTATAAAAATAACTTCATTTTGTTTGATTTCAGTTAAATCTCATGTTGAATTTTCAGACACTGGTCTTGTATGAAGTGCTTTAAATATATTGTCTGCCCCCAACTTCAACAGTATCCTGTAATTTTAGCTGTGTATTTAAAATATTGTTTAAAGCATTAACTTTTCATAATTTCTATGGGTTTTTTTAAAATAGATTTTAACAGATATCCCTGCAAGTTCAACCCCTGAGCATACAGCATGTTCAAACAGAATCAGGAACCTAGACAATACATCCTATGATGCCATGAACACAATCTCTGATAGTCAGATAACAGTGCAAGGTTTACCTCCAAAAACCTCCAAAAGAACAGAGGAAGATGACATTCTCCAACCAATAGAGGAGAGTGCTGTACATGATGTGGAACTACCAAAGTTTATCTCACCAAATCTTCTTAAAGAAGCTGGCCGCAATATGAGATATTGTGAAGAGGAAGACAATTTTATAACTGATACAAGTCATTCATTATCAGATTATACTGAAGAAGGCAGCTCAGATTATTTTGAAGAATACCTTCTGTCAGATAAAGACCTGAAATTGTTTGTGATAATGGACATTGTGTATCCAGCATTAAAAAAATCTATTTGCTTTACTAAAAGGTAGGCTTTACACTCCTGTCTCTCTCTTCCTCTCTCTCTCTCTGTCCGTCACATATTTTCTGAGGCTATCAGACCAGTATCTTCAGCAATAAATTGAGAAGATACTGACTTCTGTCGAAAATAATGTCGGATTTATTGAATGTATAAACTCAATTTTATTTAAAGATGGAAAATAAAAATAAAGACATATTCGAATGTAGAAACACATCTTTAACTATTTAACCGGAGAAGTGTTTATGGTTGTGACAAGAATGATGAAGAGACTATATAAGTAGCATAAAAACTATCACTCGCAAAAAGAATGACAAATAGAAAAATATCATTTTGAAACAACATTAATAAAAAGTAAGTACACAACACTAAGCCTAATGGCATCATTGATTATAGATTAACGAAATAGAATAAAAAATCAAATGGCATAAAGGATTCACAATACTAATAACGTCATCTTCAATAAGATTCACTTCCCATATTTTCCAATTTTAGAATATGAGGAAATGAACTATTTCATTCAAATTTGATTTAGATCTATAGATATTTGTATCAAGACTTACGCTGTAAAATTTATACAATTTTCTCTGCAAAAAAAAATAAAAACGAAAATTATTTTAAAAAACAACAAAAATACCATTAAATAGCTGGGTATTTAACAGAATCATTTAAGTCACTTAATTAGTGTAAGCATTTAATATGGTTTTGTGTTGACTATTAAGGTATATAATTCTATTTTAATTTTTCTAATAGGTAATTGTAGCCTGTTAAATGTGTCTGATTTTTAGCTATGGGGTCATACCTCCCCCTCTCCTCTCCATCACACAAAAAGCCAGAAAAGCAGACCCCCCCCCCCTAAAATGATGTCACACCTCAACCTACAACCCCCCTCAAAATTGCAGTTGAATTTTTTTTAAACATCAATATTTTTCTAAAATCTTGTCTAAACTATTACAATTTATTAAAACAGTTATCTAAAACGCGAAATAACGTCTAAAATTCATTTTCTAACATTGCTTTTTTATAATGCTAAAGTGTGACGTCGCAACATCTGAACCCCCCCCCCCCCTCATCACACATCGTCACAAAATTACAGACCCCCCCCCTCCCCCTACGAGTGTGACGTCATTTATGGATGACCCCTATGTAGTTATTTCTTGGCTTTGTCACTAATTCCGTTTGATGTATAGTAAAGCCAATGTGTTTTGATCAATAACAATTTTATAAATTATTTTTCTCAAACAAGTATAAATAGTATAATATTTTAAAAATATAGGCCTATAATTCATGTGTAACAGGTACTGATGACTGGTTTTATGTTATAATTTAATTGACAAGTCAGTTTTCTGTTCTGAAGATATGGCCATTATGTTAGAATGTAATTGACAAGTCAATTTTCCACTCTGCAGATATGGTCATTATATTGAAGGGGCTGGTTCTGTTTTACAGATGACTTCTGATGTTGAGGTAAAAAATATATCAGACTTGACATTTTATGTGACCACCAGACTTGACATTTTGTGTGAGCACCAGACTTGACATTTTATGTGACCACCAGACTTGACATTTTGTGTGAGCACCAGACTTGACATTTTGTGTGACTTCTTGCAGTGTGTAAGAGCTGCCAGCAGATTAAAAAGTCAAGTTGTACATAACAAGACTAAAGACCAGATGGGGGAGGCTGAGCTAGAGATACTGAGGAGGCTTCAGCTGCGCTACTTTACCCCCAGAGAAGTTGCCAACCTTTTGTGCTTCCCTCCCACATTTGGTAGGTGCTGACCTTTTTTTTCCTTTTTTTTAACATAAGGAAAAAGAAACTTGTCTTTCAGACTTACCATGTGGGCTTATCATTCAGTGCCAGACTTACCATGTGGGCTGATCAAACAGTGCCAGACTTACCATGTGGGCTTCTTTTTCCTTTCAATTCTGTCCAAAGGAAGATGGGGCCTTGTCAACACTTCCGCAATGGAAACCATTTGCCACTGCTTTTTAAACTCAGTGTTATGAAAGTCCAGCCTCCTTTGCTTGTTTAGTGATGTTATTGACTGTCTCTCTGATTTTGTATTTTATCATGCAACTGCTAACTTGTAAGGCTGGAGTTTGAATCTAGGTTTAAGTCAGTAGAACGTCCTTGGGTCCATCCAGCTCTCATGTGAACAGTAAAGGTGGATGAGCATAAAGCTGACCACACTATCCCTTTATATGTCCAGGTCACAAAAACTGGTGAACTTCACCTGCTCCATGTACCGTCAGTTACGAAAGTGAACTTGACTTTACTGCTTATCTCCAACAAATGAAGTTAACTCTGGTATCTCTTTCAGACTTTCCCCCAGGCCTGACCCGTGGTATCTCTTTCAGACTTTCCCCCAGGCCTGACCCGTGGTATCTCTTTCAGACTTTCCCCCAGGCCTGACCCGTGGTATCTCTTTCAGACTTTCCCCCAGGCCTGACCCGTGGTATCTCTTTCAGACTTTCCCCCAGGCCTGACCCGTGGTATCTCTTTCAGACTTTCCCCCAGGCCTGACCCGTGGTATCTCTTTCAGACTTTCCCCCAGGCCTGACCCGTGGTATCTCTTTCAGACTTTCCCCCAGGCCTGACCCGTGGTATCTCTTTCAGACTTTCCCCCAGGCCTGACCCGTGGTATCTCTTTCAGACTTTCCCCCAGGCCTGACCCGTGGTATCTCTTTCAGACTTTCCCCCAGGCCTGACCCGTGGTATCTCTTTCAGACTTTCCCCCAGGCCTGACCCGTGGTATCTCTTTCAGACTTTCCCCCAGGCCTGACTCGCATACAGAAGTACAGAGTCCTGGGAAACAGCTTAAATGTTCACGTTGTGGCCAAACTGGTTCAACTCATGACACGAGAGGCATAACCTGACAGGGAACTGATGTTCAACTCATGACACGAGAGGCATAACCTGACAGGGAACTGATGTTCAACTCATGACACGAGAGGCATAACCTGACAGGGAACTGATGTTCAACTCATGACACGAGAGGCATAGCCTGACAGGGAACTGATGTTCAACTCATGACACGAGAGGCATAACCTGACAGGGAACTGATGTTCAACTCATGACACGAGAGGCATAACCTGACAGGGAACTGATGTTCAACTCATGACACGAGAGGCATAGCCTGACAGGGAACTGATGTTCAACTCATGACACGAGAGGCATAGCCTGACAGGGAACTGATGTTCAACTCATGACACGAGAGGCATAACCTGACAGGGAACTGATGTTCCAGTCATGAGTCATAACCTGACAGGGAACAGATGTTCCAGTCATGAGAGACATAACCTGACAGGGAACATATGTTCCAGTCATGAGAGACATAACCTGACAGGGAACAGATGTTCCAGTCATGAGAGACATAACCTGACAGGGAACAGATGTTCCAGTCATGAGAGACATAACCTGACAGGGAACATGTTCCAGTCATGAGAGACATAACCTGACAGGGAACATGTTCCAGTCATGAGAGACATAACCTGACAGGGAACAGATGTTCCAGTCATGAGAGACATAACCTGACAGGGAACAGATGTTCCAGTCATGAGAGACATAACCTGACAGGGAACATATGTTCCAGTCATGAGAGACATAACCTGACAGGGAACAGATGTTCCAGTCATGAGAGACATAACCTGACAGGGAACAGATGTTCCAGTCATGACACGAGAGACATAACCTGACAGGGAACAGATGTTCCAGTCATGAGAGACATAACCTGACAGGGAACTGATGTTCCAGTCATGACACGAGAGACATAACTTGACAGGGAACTGATGTTCCAGTCATGAGAGACATAACCTGACAGGTAACAGAAGTTCCAGAACATTGTTGGGACAAGTCAATACATTATAACTTCAGTGAAGTTCAGTGTAATTTTTGTTTAAGTTTAATATTGAAAAATGTTGAAACAGATGTTTAAAAGGAGTTTTAGTTTTGTGTTTACATGTTTTCTGTCTGTACAAACCAATGTTATAAGATAGGCCAACATGTAATTTTTTAAAAATTCAAACCAAAAGCAATATAGGTCTATTCTATTTTCATATTTATTATCATAGATATACATTAAGTTTCATAATAAATCATAATCAAATGTGTGTTATAAGTCTACACAAATATTTCCCATATGTAATCCAAAAAGACAATAGTGTTAGGATTGTTACATATAAGTATTTACGTAGATTTAGAGTAGCGTCCCTTTTGTTTACGTGTTTCCATTAACCTTCAATCTATAGTCTATTTTAGTATATTGAGATCAAAGAATGTAAATAAATAGTACACACACATTTTGTAGCATAGGAACGATTGGGAGGGAAGTGACATAGAGCGCAGAAAACTTAGATGTTAGGCGGGGTATAAAAGGTGGGGTTAGGATTATTAGGGGGTCCATTCTCTTATAGGCATCCTAGGTTGTGTGATCTTACAAGCAATAAAAGTAACGGATTGTGAACGGACTTCGTGTTGGTTTCTTGTCGACCCTGTCCTCAACTCACAACAAATAGCTCTTAATTTTTACAACCCCCCCCCCCAGCATAATTTCAATTTAGCAGTCAGCATTTACTGAAAGGCAAAGACAAATGTGGCTCTCTAAAAATATTTATTAATAAGCTTACACTAGATTAGTAGATTACAGTATGATTAGAATTAGGAGTAAATTGATTGTAAATATAATAAACATGCGCGTATATAGCTCGATAAATAGAACTTTATATAGTAATTTTTAATTAATTCTTTAAAAATTAATTGAGCATTAAATTAAAATTAAATATATTAAATGTGTTGTCTGATTGCATTGTCATCGGGTCTTGACCCACGTGCCTATTTTAAGAGAAATTGACAATGGCGCTGGCGGACACGCCTGATTCAATCATTCAATTTAGTATTTTTCCCCCTCAATTGGTCTAAGGGAAGTAACTATTATTTTGGTGCTAAGGGAAGTAATTTTCAGACAATTTGAATATTTGTGAATGGTGATACATTTCCTTTTATTTTGTTTATTCCTCATGACGTTAATTAAGAGAGTAAGTTTGGAAAATGAAACTTACTTTACAAAACATTAATTGTATTTTTTATAATCATTAATTTAAATGATAAACACCTAAGAATATTACATTACATTGTGGCGATCAAGTGGAGTTTTTTTTACTATATGAATGTCATCCACAGGTCCTTCCGCCATATGCAGAATGAGCTTTATCTTAGAGTTTCTTCCAGGCATCTCTTCATTTTTTACCGCCCCCCCTCCCCCCCCCCCCCGAACGGAATGAAATTTATATAGAAAATATATACTTTTAACAGTGTCCGCCCCCCCCCCCCCCCCCCCCGAAAATTTCAAGTGCCCCCCCCCCCCCCCGGAGAAAAAAGTCTGGAAGAAACACTGATCTTAGACTAGCCGGCAGGGCCTATATGGCGAAATAGTTGGTCGCCTAGGTCGCTGTCCGTAGGGGGGGGGGGGGGCAAAATGGGCTGGAAAAACAAATTGAAAGTTTGTCCCCGGGGGCACGAAAAAAATTGGGGGGGGGGGGGGGCAAAACGGGCTGGAAAAACAAATTGAAAGTTTGTCCCCGGGGGCACGAAAAAAATTGGGGGGGGGGGGGGGCAAAACGGGCTGGAAAAACAAATTGAAAGTTTGTCCCCGGGGGCACGAAAAAAAATTGGGGGGGGGGGGGGCGCTGCTAACCGGCCAGGCCCTGCACTGGCCTCTGTGGAAAAAAAACTATACTGTCAAGGACCATGACTTATGTGTTTATTAAGCAGCATATTTTATTACGTTTCAAATTTACCATAACCAACCAAAAAAAAAATACAAACCCAAACACAAAGAAAACAGACGCAAATAAAAAAGCAAACGAAAATACAAATAGAAACTCAAAATAAAGTAATAAATGCGACTCTAAACTTAAATGCAAACATAAGCACAAAGTGCTCACAGTCTAGCCCGGGCGCGGCAGGACTGCCTGATTCAATTTATTTAGTAAACGACTATAATACCCGAACTTATCCATAGTCTTTTTGCACTCGCTTAAACGAACGTAGGTGCCATAGCAAACACAGGCACCCTGGATTCAATTTCGTGAAGGATTTTGGTAACCCTTCTTATCTATATGTATAAAACAATCCTATGCGGCATAGCGCTCGAACCTTACTGAGGCGCAGGCGGACATGCCCACGCAAACCGAAAGATAGAAGTGAGTAAACATAGAGGACATTTAGGGGCGGCTTCTAAACTGTTATTGATTAAAAATAATAATTAGTAAACAGTACGTTCAGTGTATAAAATTTCCGTATTTTACCTACCACATTGCACTTTATCAATCCACGCTGTACCTGTCGGCCAGATGTTGTCCAGTACCTATCGTCGTGATGTCGATCTGAGGCTGCATCGAGGTGCTGTTCTGTTGCCCGTTCCTGGCATGTCGCTGTATGTTTGTGAGTACCGGTACTGAAAGTGTGTAGAGTGACGATAGAAAATTGTTATACTTGTACTTTCTGATATTGTAAACTATTGTATCGTCTGGTGTATGTTAATAAATGTATTGGGCTAACAAGTTTCATTTTTAGTTTAATATTGGTGTTGCTCAGGTCTGGTAAAACGCCTTGTACCAACAAGGATGCACGGATTTCAGAAAATAAAGACCATCACCATGACACCATCTCTCTATTGTTATACGACCGATCCCTTACCCCTCCCCCTTACATTAGTGGTATCAGGAGAGAGATCCCCTCACACACACACACACTCTCTCTCTCTCGGTATCATCGAACCCGCAACCCCCCCCCCCCCTTACTCTTGTTTGAGAAATATATTTGATAAAATAGTCATTGGTGAAAACACAATGTGCTTTCTTACTACACGTTGAAGTTCAACTTGAACTAGCTAAGTGGCAAAGAAATTACTAAATAGCTAAAAATCCGACACATTTAAAATAACATAGACTACCAACACCTATTAGTATAAGAAAAACTGAATTATAAACATTATTACTATTAGTTAACACAACAGCATATTAACTGCACAAACTGAGAGACTTAAATTATTCCGTCTTAAAAACCTGGCTGTTCAATGGTATTTATGTTGGTTTTTTTTTAAAAGTAATTTGTATTACTTTTGGCCGAGAAAATTGTATAGGCTTACATTTCATAGCGTACGTCTTGATTATGATAAGTAGATCTATAGATCTAAGTAAAATTTGAATGAAATAGTTCATTTCTTCAGTGGCGTAGCATGGTCGGGTGTCATTTCGTAGTTTCACCCCCCCCCCCCCCCCCAAAGAAAAAAAAGTGCTGCCAAAGCCCGCATTGGCCGGCTATCTTGACCAAAGCCCGAAGAACTTAGCACTAAGAGCGTATTTCGTACATTGGCCGGCCAAGGCGCGCACTGGCCGGGATGTACTGGCCAAAGTTCGAAGCGCTTAACTTGACAGCGTATTTTGTACATTGGCCGGCCAATGCGCACACTGACCGGGATGTCCTGGCCAATGTTCTATCTAGACTAAGTTGTGATCGCGTTTTCGTTATTCTGGGTGTGGTTTCATTGTGAGAAACGTATTGTTTGGCTATTGTTTGTATAGCATTCTATATGCAATGCGACACGGACCAAAAGGATCGTCAGATCAAGAGACTGCCAAAATAAATAATTCAAATCCTAATGGAAAAGAATTTGTGAATCAAGTTATTTCTGAACTAAAGAACATGTGGCCTGTACTTAAACTAGTTCACAGAAAACCAAGGCATAGCCAAAGCCAATGTTCATTAGAACGTGCCAACCAAGATGTTCAAAACATGATGATGACATAGATGCAGATAGATGAATCAGCTCATCGGATGTGTATTTCTTACTTTTTATTGATTTTTAATTTATGAAATAGACACGACTAAAAAATATTTGCTTAAAAATCAGTAGATCGCGATATCTAATAGACTTATCTGCCCCGTGAAAGCAGCCGTCCGTGACCATATTTTACAGACGACAGCAGGTCCATTCCCCCCCCCCCCCCCCCCTAGTTTCAAATCGTTTAAAAACTTTATAGGCCTAACCTGCACTATTACCGCGGCTCACTAGACTGGTCGGTTGATATCGTCTGGCTAGTTATCTCCCCTTCTGAATATAGTAATCTATCGAGTAATTTAATTTTGTTATCTCCCCTTAGTTTCGAACCCGTTTAATTCATCTTTAATGACTAAGTAAACATCTAATTAAATTTAAAAATAGATAGACGTATATTGTCATCGAAGTGGAACGTATCTGGAAAGTTTCAACGAAATCGACGTATTAGAAATGGGTAAAAATTAAGTTACAAGATTTGCCACAAACCCACTAACTACTAACGGACGTTGCTAATTAAATAAAAGTAGTTAAAAGCTTGTAAAATTAGTTACTATTACCTTTGTCCATGGCCGATTCTTGGCTACGCCACTGATTTAAATTAGAGATGAGTGCTTTCATCAACCAACTTAAAATGTACAGATGATGATCTCAAGAACAAGGTAGGTTACACTCGCTGACTTAATTTTTAAAGATGTGCATCGTCATTGAACAGCAGAGGGGTACAAACGCCGACACCAACATTTGTTTTTACTTTATTTATTGGTAAATTTTCTAAAAAGGCACCGCTTTCCCGAAAATGACAAAATTCTATTCTAAATCTAGATCTAGGCCTAAGGGGGAGCGGCCACTCCAAATGGCATCGCCCTTGGATACGGCAGACTATTTTGTAATTTAAAATATGTGTCACATAAAAAAAAAAGCCAAAAGGTCGATGTTAAGTGGTACAAAAAGTGTTATCTTTATTTCTTATCGCAATGTCCCTACAGTACACTGCCTTACAGTTAGGAGCACAAATCATTATAGTTTATAGGACCGGCAAAGTGTAGGCTTACTCTTGTTACGCTAGATCTAGATTTAGAAAAATCTAGAACAAAACACTTGGTTATGGCGACTCGTTGGGGTATTTGTGGAGCCGGCAAAATATCCTATGATTTCTGCCTGTGTTTAAAGGCTCTACCAAAATCAGAACACGAGGTTTTTGTTTTGCTTTTTGCTCGATAGAATTATTAATTTAACACTTCTTATTTATAGCCCACATCAATAGTATATTCTAGAGTCTAGAGTTTTATGTACTTAGATCTAGATATCTAGATCTAATCTAGATCTAGATTCTAATAAATGATTAACGTAGATCTAGCTGTCTTCGGTGATGTTTGATAACTAAGCTGAACAACTCAGTAGGCCTAAGACCTGACTCTAGTTATTCTTAGAATAAAGGTAATCTATCGTTTTAGGTAGATCTACGTAAAATCGCCCGCGGCTAGTAATGTACGAAAACGTTACCTCATTGTCAAGGCATTAATAGAAGTATATTTTCATTATTTTGTGATATATTTGTGTCAAATATTATAGATAAATGAATAATAAACCTAAATCAATTGCTAAATAATAAAATATATCAATATTAATGAATATTATTATTAATATAGGCAATAAATTAACTTTAAACAGCTGTGTTTGTGAGCAGGATTTGCTATATACTAGATTATATAACAAGCGGCCATCTGTAAGTTAGAGTGGCTTCCCCTGAATCTCGCGCTATAAGTTTATAAAAAAAATCCAACAAGATGACTGCTATAGTATATAAATGAGCGATGTTGCATCTGTTGGAAACATCGCTAGTTTTCATTAAATACTGAAAAGTTTTAATTTAATTGTAAAAAACAGGTATATAAATGAAACAGGGAAACATTTTTGTATTTTTCAAAATGTGAAATAATTATTAAAATTTAAGGAGTCTCCTGTTTTTCACATTACTAGAATCTAGTTGCGGGCGATTTTACGTACCTAAAACGATAAATTACCAGAATAAATAATATGTAGATCTTAGATTTTGATCTAGACTATATACTATACGGCGATCAACTTGGTGTTTTCTTACGTCTCCAAGAAGAGAATTATATACATAGATTCTCTACTTGGGGACCATGCGGGACACCATCAAGTAAGCGTGCCTAGCCTCCCCCTCCCTTCCTATCTTGGCATATCTCTACCACCCCCACCAGAAATATGTATGCTGATATTTACATTTACAAAAATGTGATATTTGTAGATCAGAATATATAAAAATATCTTCCTTAAAAAGAGATTACAAACAAAAGTCTTGTAGATTGTTGCAGTGGCTGCAAGAGACAAAAAAAGAGCAGAGGAGTTTGCATCACGCTTTGATATTTTCAACAGCTACGGGTCTTATGAAGAGCTTGCTAAAGACTCTAACATAGGTAAGATTATTTCTAATTGCTGTGGAAGTAAAAAAAAAACATTGTTTAAAAAAAAAACTTAACACCTAACAATAACTAAATCTTTAACTTGACATTAAATAATTTCCATACCACTGTGCTTATGGAAAATATTTAATCCAGTTTTTGTATCATAACTATGCAACAATTGTAAAAAAATCTGAAATTAATAATTATACCTTATAATTTAGTTATTATGTAGTTGTTGCTTATTTTAATTTTATGAGAGTAGATAATTTTAATTAATTTGTTGACTTCATTTAAAAAAGCAGTGTATCCCACACAAATTTGTTGTCTGTAATATACCATCAAGAAATAAATATTATTCTGCAGATGTCATTTACATTGGAACCATTCACACAAATCATGTGGAGAGCAGCCTTTTATTTATTAATGCTGGAAAAAATGTTCTTTGTGAGAAACCAATGTCACTGTCTTTGGAAGGATGTCAACGTGTTTTAAAAGCAGCAAAAGAAAAGGGTGTACTTTTTGTAGATGTTAGTTTCATTACCTACTAAGCTATTTTTATTTCATGTCAAAATTTATAATGATAAACAATGTGTGTTATTGCTTTAAAAACAGGTATTTAAACAAAATCTACCTCATTCACAAGCTGACCTTAATGGTATTACTATTGTGCCCGTCCCACGCGTTGTCGCGTACAGCCCCTGGCTCAATTTAATCATCCAATGTCATATGTCACAGTGTCAGGATAAAAAATAAACATATGCGCCATAGTGCTCACAGGATAGCCCAGTGTACCAAATCGCAACCTGCTGGAGCGCTGGTCGATGCATCTGATTCTGTTTAGTTAATTACTATTATACCCCATCTTATCCATAGTCTATTGCCCTGTTTAAAATTAACGTAGGCAGCATAGCGCTCATGGGAAAGCCTGTGGTGCCTAATTGCACCCTACCGGGATGCCGCCCCTGTAAAATTGAAATTTTTTTCCCAGCAGAAACCTCCCTTGGAGTATTCTCATAAACTCATCAAAGTTTCTTGCCAATTGGATGAAAGGTGTAATAATAATGTATAAAGATCAAACTCACAAACAAACATACTTTCATTTATATATATGTAGATTTTTTATTGGGAAGAGGTAAGGGGATGTCTCCATATGTCTTGAGTGACCTAGTTCTATGGGTTACAGGAATACCAACAGAATTAGTTGGCACTAGACTAAGTATTCTTCTGATCCCAACCTATCTGAATTAGTTGGCACTAAGTATTCTTCTGATCCCAACCTATCTGAATTAGTTGGCACAAGTATTCTTCTGATCCCAACCTATCTGAATTAGTTGGCACTAAGTATTCTTCTGATCCCAACCTATCTGAATTAGTTGGCACTAAGTATTCTTCTGATCCCAACCTATCTGAATTAGTTGGCACTAAGTATTCTTCTGATCCCAACCTATCTGAATTAGTTGGCACTAAGTATTCTTCTGATCCCAACCTATCTGAATTAGTTGGCACTAAGTATTCTTCTGATCCCAACCTATCTGAATTAGTTGGCACTAAGTATTCTTCTGATCCCAACCTATCTGAATTAGTTGGCACTAAGTATTCTTCTGATCCCAACCTATCTGAATTAGTTGGCACTAAGTATTCTTCTGATCCCAACCTATCTGAATTAGTTGGCACTAAGTATTCTTCTGATCCCAACCTATCTGAATTAGTTGGCACTAAGTATTCTTCTGATCCCAACCTATCTGAATTAGTTGGCACTAAGTATTCTTCTGATCCCAACCTATCTGAATTAGTTGGCACTAAGTATTCTTCTGATCCCAACCTATCTGAATTAGTTGGCACTAAGTATTCTTCTGATCCCAACCTATCTGAATTAGTTGGCACTAAGTATTCTTCTGATCCCAACCTATCTGAATTAGTTGGCACTAAGTATTCTTCTGATCCCAACCTATCTGAACTTACAGCACAACTATTGTAATCACTCGTATTCTGCCCATAAAAATTTTCATGTCAAGAGGCAAGCAAAAAATTATTTTTCATGTGAACCATTTTCAGAAAAATTGCAATTTTGTATTAGAAGCTAAAATTTATTGCAAAGATTTCTTGAGCAAAGTGTAAAGTAGTAGTTTCTTGCTATGTTATAAAAATGCTACTCAAAGATGCCATGTCTGGTTACAAATGCTATGTTCAAATAATCTGACCTGCCTATTATCTATATATATAATTCTCCTCTTCGAGCCGTTAGAAAACAAGCTGCAAACGCTCTCCCTACCTCCCCACCCCTACATGGTTTTAGTGAGCTGTGTTCACTCTAAATGTTTACAAGCAGAGCCAACGATTTTAAACGTAGGGGGGGGGGGGGGGGGGGGAAGGAAGGGGGGGGGGTTATGGTCCTTAACGAGCTACTTATAGTGTTTTAAAGAAATATTTTCAGTGTCAGCGTTGGTACTGTCGAATTCACAAATTATGAATTATTGAAAATTAGAAACAACTAAATAGCGGCGTATGTTATGCCGCGGGCCGGCTCGTAATTATTGAAATGAACAACCCTTATTGTGAATTACCAGGAGGTATTGACAGGATACCAGATTAAGATTACAGCAGGGTAGGGGTAATATACAGATGTGTGTGAATATATATATATATATATATATATATATATATATATATATATATATAGAGAGAGAGAGAGAGAGAGAGATGTAAAGTTACAAATGCTGCAATTGATTACAGTGTAGTTGGCTGTCAACAAGGTCAAAGCCAAAACCTAACAACTGAAATGCAACTTGTTGATGTAAGCATGATTCAAGGTCAAACAGTATGTGATAAACGAGATTCAAGGTCAAACAGTATGTGATAAACGAGATTCAAGGTCAAACAGTATGTGATAAACGAATGAAAAGATGCAACAGCAGATGAAAAAACAAAAAGGCCAGTAAAAGATGTAGCGATGGATTGGTTCCCAACATTGTGTGAGGACAGAGACAGATAGAAAATAAAAACAAGTTATTCTAGACTACGCTGCCTATATTACCTAGCTAGGTAAAAGAAAGACCCTGCGTGTTCAGTAATGGTGATCAGGTTGGCTTACAAAGGTTACCATGGGTGCAACCATAGCAGAAAATGATTGAATGGAGAGACAATGGCAGTATTACGTGAGAGATACAGAGTGATTAGTGATACAGTGACTTGTGACATTGGAGGTGTTTCTTATATGTATTGGATAAGTCAGTGCCAAATGACATGACCAAAAAACCAACGGCTCAATTCCTAGGCATGGATGAAACTGGTTACACACCTCTGTCGCATTTGGGTGCTACAAAAGGGTTGAAAGCAACCCAGCAAGAATGTCACACCTGTAAAATATGTATACATATATATATACACACAGATATATACGCACACAGATATATAGATTGATATATATATATATATATATATTCATACACACATATATTCATACATACATAAATATGAATGTATAGGGCCTTTGTATATATGTATATACATATGTATTTATATATTACGAAAATACAGTAAAAGTTGGCACCTTTTTGATTAACTAGCTGTTCTCAATAACCACAAAAGCTGGCTGCACCACTGATTTTCACTTGCTAATTAAATTAAACTTGGATATTCCATCTATTTTTAGGCCTTCTGGAGTCGACATTTTCCAGCCTACAAATTTATCCTAGAGCACATCAAATCCGGAGCTATAGGAGAAGTTGTCATGATGCAAGCAACATTTGCTTCTTTTCGAGATGATGCCATATACTTTGACATGAACCGTGGTGGTGGAGCACTCATGGATATAGGCTGCTATCCAGTCCAAGCTGCCAACTTACTTTTTAAAGGAAAACCTGAGTCCATTGTTGCTCAAGGAAGTAAAGCAGAATCAGGTGATAGTGCCCAGTCTAAATTAAATGCTACCATTAGGTCAAATACAAACTTATCTATGTCTTAAAATACTCGTTTGTAAATTATGATAACAATGTTTTATCACACAATTTTTAAAAAAAATTGTAATCAAGGAATGTTTTATTCATCTAATTATTTTTCCAATCACAAGGTGCTGACAAAACTGCTGTGATTTTACTCAAATACCCTGGAGGCAAATTTGCTTCCCTTTCCTACTCTGCTGAAACAAGTAACGGAGCTAGTCATCTGACTATCTATGGATCTCAAGGAACTATTGTGGTCAGTAAGATATGTTGTTTCCTTATTTACTTCTCATTTTAAAAACAATTAATAAAAAGAGAAACTAATATGGTTTAAAAATTAAATGGTTTGAAATAACACAGTGCAGATTTATGAAATAACACAGTGCAGATTTATGAAAAACATGAAATAACACAGTGCATATTAATGCCAATTGCTATTCTCTAGGTTCCAGATTGGTTTTGGTGCCCAACTAGAGTTGTACTCAAAGAGAATCAAGTGAAATATTTTCAGCTCCCTGATATTCAGGACATGGTAAACTCTTCCAAAATTTCCTTATGTTAACAAATGTTCTACTCATTGTAATAATATGAAAGATGACAATGATTGAAAGGACTAATGAAAGGTATTTGAATGATATTTAGGATGGTATGACATACTCCAACTCTCAAGGCCTGACATATGAAGCAAAGGCTGTGCGGGATTGTCTTTTGAAAGGTCAGACATTAAATACTGTCGTTAGTGTCATTCTCTGAGGGCAGAATAAGACTTAAAACACAAGTTGCTACTTGGGACATTGTGACATAATTAACTCGGTTTCTCAATCAGTGATCTTCTAACTAGCCAGACTGACCTAAGGTCAAGTGATCTTCCAACTAGCCAGACTGACCTAAGGTCAAGTGATCTTCTAACTAGCCAGACTGACCTAAGGTCAAGTGATCTTCTAACTAGCCAGACTGACCTAAGGTCAAGTGATCTTCTAACTAGCCAGACTAACCTAAGGTCAAGTGATCTTCTAACTAGCCAGACTGACCTAAGGTCAAGTGATCTTCTAACTAGCCAGACTGACCTAAGGTCAAGTGATATTTTAACTAGCTAGACTGACGTAATCAATATTGCTAGTAAAATGTGTCATTTTAAATTTCCTTTTTCTGGGAGCGCAGTAAAAAAGTGCATGATGGATGGGTAAAAAGCAACTATTTTTGTGGAGGTCATAAATGGATGCACCCTACTGTAAACAAACTATGTGAGCGATGTATGAGCAGTGGCTGAACTACGGTTACTTTGTTTTACAGGCTTGAAAGAGTGTCCAGAAATAACCCATGAGGACAGTGAGACAATTATGTACATCCTGACTGAGGTTCAGAAGCAGCTTGGAATTAAATACAACTACCCCTGAAATTTTCAACAACTGGTTCAATACAAACTGCTGAAATCCTTTTAAACTTTATTTGTTTCTAACATTATTTTGTGCTTCTTTACACTACTGGATTACTAAGTAGTGGTAAAAAATACTGTCCTGTTAGATATGTTTGATATGTATTGAGGTCTTTATTTTATAAATGCTATGGAATCCTTTTACTTTTAGATAACTGAGAAAAGTATCTGCTATGACAAAATTTCCCCATCAGTATGATTGGGTAACTAGAAAGGTATAATGACTATAAGGTGACTCATTCTTTTGCTGCCTTTTGACATGACTTACACAAACAAAGAGCAAATAATTCCAATTCCTATTTATTTATTTATTTTTGTGTCTGCATGAACTTTCAAATTTTTAAAATATTTTTTAATTGAAATTAAAATGTGAAAATCAACACTTGTCTTGATGACATTCAATTTACATTTTGTCATTTTTATTGAAACTTGTTTTTCATTTTTAAGTGTCCTTCTAATTTTCTTTATTTACTTGAGTGTTTGTGGATACATTTTTTGTTTTTCTGTGAGCTAGCCACATAAAGTTTTTCTGTGAGCTAGCCACATAAAGTTTTTCTGTGAGCTAGCCACATAAAGTTTTTCTGTGAGCTAGCCACATAAAGTTTTTCTGTGAGCTAGCCACATAAAGTTTTTCTGTGAGCTAGCCACATAAAGTTTTTCTGTGAGCTAGCCACATAAAGTTTTTCTGTGAGCTAGCCACATAAAGTTTTTCTGTGAGCTAGCCACATAAAGTTTTTCTGTGAGCTAGCCACATAAAGTTTTTCTGTGAGCTAGCCACATAAAGTTTTTCTGTGAGCTAGCCACATAAAGTTTTTCTGTGAGCTAGCCACATAAAGTTTTTCTGTGAGCTAGCCACATAAAGTTTTTCTGTGAGCTAGCCACATAAAGTTTTTCTGTGAGCTAGCCACATAAAGTTTTTCTGTGAGCTAGCCACATAAAGTTTTTCTGTGAGCTAGCCACATAAAGTTTTTCTGTGAGCTAGCCACATAAAGTTTTTCTGTGAGCTAGCCACATAAAGTTTTTCTGTGAGCTAGCCACATAAAGTTTTTCTGTGAGCTAGCCACATAAAGTTTTTCTGTGAGCTAGCCACATAAAGTTATCCAAGTGAGGAGCAAGGACTCTCGAAGTCCTTCACGCCAAACTGAAGCAGCTTTTTATTAGGTTTTCACCAACAAGCTACCAATTGCGTATTTATTTTAGACATACGGCCTTGTTTTCTAGAACAGTGTTAAACACGTAAAGTGTCGGCACTTTATTTCTCGGACCTTAGTTGCTGGGGCGCTAGTCTGTCCATACTATCCCCTAGACGCCCCAGTTTAAGCTGATCGCCTTCCACAATGGTGAAACACCCCTCGGCGATGGCTAAGGTGTCAAGGGCGTCACAGGGCTCTTGGGAGACACCGGTTACCTGACTGCACAGCTGTTGGCACTGGTTATTCTTTTAAGTGAATGTAGGGGCCATAGTACTCATAGTGACAGCCACATTTTTTTAAACAAATGTTAGGCCTATGATAGAAACCTTTGGGGGAGTGTACACAAAAACATCCTAAATTTTCATTGTGATCGCAAGAATGGTGTGGTAATCCATGAAAGTGTAACAAAAGACAGACACACAATGTTCACATGTACATTGTATGTGACCAGCTCACGCGGAAGACAGTTGCTGTATTCTTTTTACAAAAAATCCAAGTAAAAAATGCACGAAAATTACTTTTTTTAAAATTATTAAAAAAAAACTTAATTATGGTATGTTGTGGGGTCTGGCGGTATGGTAGTTCTGCCCCATTTAAAAGTAAATACCATTATTCCTCAGAAAATGCACATCAAACGCACTAATGAGCGTCATTGTTTATCCGTGTTGAAAATTTGGCAATACTTTTCTTCTAGTTTTAAGCTTAATCACAATTTGTTTGTTGATCTGATTTATCTTTAATCAATATGCCGCTACTTTAAAAAAAAAAGGTGTGTTTGTCTGCCTGAGTGCCTGCCATTTATGCATTAATGCAAAACTGATCCAAATCGCCATGAAACATCGAGAGGTCGTTTAGAATAATTCAGACAAACCTCTTCTGACCGTGACATTTCCTACCCTAACCCCACACATGAGGAGCAGTGCCTCGCCCTCGAAGAGAAGCCAGAAAGAAACTCTGACTCCTGTAAAGTTTTCTGCCATTAATTTTTTTTTTTAATTTTGTTTAGAGGGCAGCGCCCTGGCAGTAACTGAGTAAGTGGTTGAGTTTGCCACCCAGAGTTTTCTGCCATAAATTTTTTAAAATTTTGTTTAGAGGGCAGCACCCTGGCAGTAACTGAGTAAGTGGTTGAGTTTGCCACCCAGAGTTCCCAACAGCTTTCTTAGTACCTGGGGTCAGTTGATTGGGCATCATGCACAAGGGGTCAGGGTTAATGCTTGTTTTAATGATATAGGCCTACATATGTATATGTATCTTCAGAGTTTACAGCACTGCGCGCTTTGCTATGGTATATATATATATATATATATATATATATATATATATATATATATATATATATATATGTGTGTGTGTGTATATGTATATATATATAAGTATGTATATACACATGTGTATATGTATTGACATATATTTTTTTATGTATTTAATTTTTGTACCCAGCCCCCCCCCCCCCCATACATGGATTAACATTTAAGTTATTACGATTCTCGACCAAATCGTTTACCTCAGGCATATTTTGCAACGTTGAGTTAATGTAACTTCGCCCTCTCACCCCCTCCCCACGGCGATTGCTTTAAACTGAGCTCAGATATAATACTAACGATTTTTATCTATAGTCTGTTATAAATACAGCTTGATGTTTTCTCTATCATTAGCATGTTTATGTCATGGTGTCACCCCCCCCCCCCTCCACCCTTGTCGGGATTTGTCAAATTTGCTCTTAAAAGACTATTTAGCATTCTAATTAATCACTTAATTAAGTGGAATTATCATTTTTTTGTATAAATTTTGCTATTTTTTTGTCTTGGTGTCACCCCCCTAAATGGTTTCACCCGGTGCAGTCCGCACCCCCAGCACCCCATCGCTACGCCTCTGGTTGGCTGGGGGCCCCACGCCATTTAGGGGCCCACAGCCGACCATAATCAATTTTTTTAGTTAATACAATTTAATGTTCTTGCATTTTTGACTTGATGGATGTTTTGTAAATGAATACTGTAGCTGCGGCTAGATTATCTTTATTCTATAGACACCATACCACGCTCTTGTTAATTCTTTTTCCCTTTGTTTTAAACCACAAAATACAGTGTGAAAGATAGGCTAACGTTCAAAACACTTCCATTAATTATTTCCCTTTTTTTAAAAATTTAAATAGGGGTGCTTATAAGCTCCTTTTAATAGGTTTGTAGTGAACAAATTAAAAGTAATTACTTCTCTTGTTTGTTATATAAAAAAATACATACTAAAGAATGACATAGTATATAAAAGAAATGTATTTAAACTTAATAACATAAATACCAAAAAAACATAAAATAAACATAACACGAGAAACCATTACACATACAAAGCTTTCACGATTTATATTTTTTTTGGACTGGCTTAATGATTACTTTTTATACAGGAAACTTAAAATATAACAGATTTTCAATACAGACTAATGCACTCACGCACATATTGTTGTAAGTTGTATTAAAAAAAAAAAGTTGTAATTTGTTTTAATTGGAAAAAAACACCCAAAAACAATGCATTTTTTTCGAAACCCGATCAAGCCAAAAATGAGTATCCTATGTTCATAATCTGTGTTTGTTTGTATATATATATATATAAATATATATATATATATATATATATATATATATATATATATATATATATATATATATATATATACATATATATATACATATATATATACATATATATATATACATATATATATATATATATATATATATATATATATATATATATATATATATATATATATATATATATATATATATATTTATATATATACATATATATATATATATATATATATATATATATATATATATATATATATATATATATATATATATATATATATATTCTGGGGGCCCAGAAATTTTTTTTGCGGGGTGGCCCTTTTTTTCTAGTTCCGCCACTGGTCTAACGGTGAGTTCGGACATGCCGCTGGCATATATATATATATATATATATATATATATATATATATATATATATATATACATATATATATATATATATATATATATATATATATATATATATATATATATATATATATATATTCTGGGGGCCCAGAATTTTTTTTTTGCGGGGTGGCCCTTTTTTTCTAGTTCCGCCACTGGTCTAACGGTGAGTTCGGACATGCCGCTGGTCGTCACGATAGAATCATTACTCATGGCCTATGTAGTGGTCAGTTGTCAGGTGCACAACGGGGGTGACGCGTGGCCGTACGTTAGCTCGAGCGACGCGTGACACGATCGTTAGCCCTAAGACAACGTGAAGATCTATAGCGGTCAATTATCGGGTGTGAAACGCATGAGTGCATAGTGACCGGCGTTATCTCGAACATCGAGTGACGGTAAGGAGCCCGACTCGAGATTCTATGGCTCTGGGGAGATGATAGGGCCTATATATGAAGAAGGGTGGCTATGTTAAGGACACACACAACTTTTACTAGTTTAGATGACCCCTATATAATATTTAAAATAAATTGCCCCTCCCCTTTCAAACTTTCGCATTCCGTTAATACCAAAGTGTAAACCCTCCCCCTTTTCCCAGAGCTTATCTAATGAGAGCTATAAAGCATGAACATCTTTTGAAAGTTTACATTTTAGCTTATGTACTGGCTTTGTAATATTTCAATATATTTACAAAACAAAATTTTAAGGGGTCGTCCATAAATGATGACACACTTGTAGGGGGAGGGGGGGGGGGTCCTAAATTTCTTGACGGTGTGTGATGAGGAGGAGGGGGGATTCAGATTGTGCGTTGTCACACTTTTGCGTTTTAAAAAAGCAACATTAGAAAACGAATTTTAGACGTTATTTCGCGTTTTAGAAAACTGTTTTAATAAATTGTACTAGAAATTGATTAAGATACTCTATTTTGACAGAGTTCAGACAATATTTTAGAAAAATATCGATGTTTAAAAAAATTCAACTGCACAATTTTGAGGGGGTTGTAGGCTGAAGTGTGACGTCATTTTAGAGAGGGGTCTGGCTTTTTGTGACGACTTGTGACGGAGGGGAAGGGAGGGAGGTAAAAATCGTCAAAAAAGCGTGACGTCATTTATGGATGACCCCTAATGACGGTATGATAATTCAAAGAAAACTTGTAATTTTTTTTTTTACAAAGCCACATTTTGTCGGCTAATTGCTTGTTCTAGTTATATTTATCATATATGGTCGAATGTAGGCCTCTCATACGGATACGTCTAATCTATAAACACAAATATACAAGGCCTCTACTGTACAGTTCCGCGGCACGGTCGTATTGCTACAGTAGGCTTACCTGATAAAGCAATCTTTAACGACTCACTTCTACTGACTTGAACCCGGATTCGAAGTTGAGACTTTCGCATTAGCAGCCTTGCGTACAAAAAAAAAACAACCTATCATGTTAAAGTTTTTATCAAGTTAGAAATAGATCTAAATCGGTTCGGGACAGTGTTTCTTCCAGACTTTTTTCTCCGGGGGGGGGGGGGGGGGCACTTGAAATTTCCGGGGGGGGGGGGGGGGGAGGGCGGTATACTTTCTTCGGGGGGGCGGACACTGTTAAAAGTATATATTTTCTATATAAATTATATAAATTTCATTTCGTTCGGGGGGAGGGGGCGGTAAAAAAATTTCGGGGGGAGGGGGGCTTATTTTTACATCTAGATCTAGATCTATTAATACTAATAGTTTCGCTGTCTCTCTATCTATCTATCTATCTATCTGTCTGACAAGAACGCTCTAGAGAAAACACAAGGAAAATAAAAAGTCTCACAGTGAAACGAAAGACGAAGTATGACGCGGTCACATTTAGCTTAGAGCAAGCCGGAGAGTACGCAATTGTATGACGTCATTCAATACAAAGGCAATTTGGTCTAATCTAAGTGGTTTGCGTGAAGAGTTTCTTTCATACAATTCTTCGGGTAGGGGCGAAGCCCCACCCCCGCGTAAGAACGTCTGAGCCCCCCCCCCCCCTCCCCAACTCAAAAGAAATTTCCTCATCGATACTCTATAATAAAATTACCGCCTAATTAATGTGTCTAATCTAAAAAGTGGTTTTCTTGCAATTTCTTTAATGCAATTCTTCGCGTAGTGGCTATGCGCGACACCAGTGTTTCTTTCAGACTTTTTCCTCCACGGAGAGGGGTGAGGGTACTTGAAATTTTCGGGGGCGGGGGTAGAATTTTCGGGGAGGGGGCGGACACTGGAAAAAGTATATAATTATATTTCGTTGAATGGGACGGTAGACATGTTTTTTTTTGGGGGGTTGGGGGGGGGGGGGGTGGTGTGTGTGTGTGGGGGGGGGGGTGGGGGGGTGGTGTGTGTGGGGGGTGGGGTGGTTTTAGTTTAGACTTTTTCCTCCCCGGAGAGGGGTGGGGGTACTTGAAATTTTCGGGGGCGGGGGTAGAATTTTCGGGGAGGGGGCGGACACTGGAAAAAGTATATAATTATATTTCGTTGAATGGGACGGTATACATGTTTTTTGGGGTGTGGGGGGTGGGGGGGGGGGTGTGTGGGTGGTGTGTGTGTGGGTGGGTGGGGGGTGGTGGGGGTGGGGGGTGGGGGGGGTGGTTTTAGTTTAGAGAAAAGAGACAGCACTATCAGCCTAGCGCCCGGTGTATCCTTCCTCAACGGGCCATTTTTCTCGTATATTGAATATTGACGTTGTATGAGTGAGAGACCATATCGACATTATCGTGGCTGTGGGAATGTCAGGCCTAGTAGTAGTAGATCTAGTTGGCCTAATTCAAAAGAAGGAATAATAATAAAAAGTAAAATATTACATTTAAATATGTAGTAAAAATAATTAACCTATTTTTAAAATAGATGATACAATTTTTAGTGAGTTTCTAATATGAAATTAAATATCCAAAATCGGTACTTGAAAAGTTATGCTGGTGGGTGTTTCTTTTGCCTCGTTCCTGATCAGAATTTCAATGGCGGCCATTTATAGTTAATTTTGGCGACAGTCTCTTGTTGTACTCGATTTTGGAGAATTTCAATTCTGTTGGATGAAAATCTCAATTTAAGCGAAGGTTAGCGCAAAAACTAAACAAGCAAAACAAGCTTAGAGGTCTAGATCTAGCTCTTGATCTAATCTTGGTTTATGCTATTGTAATAAACTATTTTACTTTTACTAGATCTAGATCTAGAATCTAGATCTAGATCTAGAATCTAGATCTCGTTCAGCAGACTTTACTTAAACTTTAGATTTTAGCTGCTTAGCAGTAGTCGTAAAGCTTGCTGTTTTAGTGTTAGTTAGAATCTAGACTTAGTTTTTTTAGCAGCTAGAATCTAGATTTAGATTTCTAGACTCTAGATCTCACTCGAAGTCTAGATACTAGATTTAGAAGTTTAGTAGTAGGGTTGTCGGCATCCGCCGAGTTCGCGGTAAAAACATGACCCGAAATCGCCCATTACTTTCTGATACCGGACCCACGAGATTTGGTTTTGCATACTAATAAGTTTTTAATTTATGGTAATTAATTAAGTTTAAAAGGTCATTTCCTAAGGTTAATTAAAAAGTAGAGTGGTTGTCCCTTAGTTTTAATGGCTTTGCGACCTGATTGCATGCTGTCTCTGCTTTGGTCTTCCCCCTGTATCAAGGTTAGTTTCAAATACGTTGGAATCTCGATTTTTTAAAAGATTCCTCTAGATGAGAGTAGATTACTGATCAGACATATCTTAAGTAATTGGAAATGAAATTTGTTTTTGGATATTTTGACTCCGACATTAGTTATACCCCTCCGAACGTAGACACTGTATGTAGGTCACGCTGCCACCATTGTTATATTTTTTCATCCCGATCTTCCTGCCTTTAAGTTTGGTCCACTAATAACAGCAATCTTATGGCATGTGCAAACAAATCTAATTTTTTATTTCAAAATATATTTACATACCCATCTTTAATTTTTTCAGCTCTAGTTCTAGTTTTCTAGAATATGTTTTTCCTAAAAATCCAATTTTGTCAGACTAGACTCTAGACTGACAAGAGTCAGACCTAGATCTAGATCTAGGTTACCTGTCTGTTGCTATACACTAACATTGTGCTAACTGTAATTTTAAGTATTCAAGTTCTACTTACCCTTAGATATAGTTATATGCTGAAAATCAGAATCCATACACAATTCACACATAAAAACATTGATCTGATAACTTCATTTCACTTATTACAAAATGGCTTTTGTATGGACTCTACTTCACCTGCCCAAAATAACAAGGCAGTTATAGACACATTACAGTGTTCATGTCATTTACTTTAGATTTCTGACTATGGAGTTCTTTCATTCACTGTATTTATATAAAATATTGCTTTAGAAACATTTTCATATTTGCGCAGCAGTTTTATAACAAAATGGCTTAAAGATGGACTCTACTTCACCTGCCCAAAATAATGAGGCAATTATATGCACATAACAGTGTTCAAGTCATTTACTTTAGATTTCTAACTTTGTAGTTCTTTCATTTGCTGTATTTATATAAAATATGGCTTTAGAAACATTTTCATATTTGCGCAGCACACAGTTTTTTGGGGTTATGGGAGGAAGCCAACACAAAAATATAAGTTCTGTATTATTTTTATTAATTTCAACAGCATTTACAAGTTCTATATATCATTCTAGTTAAACTCTGCAAATATGAACAAAATACAACTGCAAGTAAAATAACTATGCTCAATTTATTCAGGTATACCATGATTTGTCACAATTGGCCAATGCAAAAGCAAGGGGATTCCACCCCTCACAAAAAAATTCGCCAAAAAAAAACTATTTGAGCTAGACAGAAAATCTTTTTTGTTTTGTTTTCATATAGTTGAGCTCTACAAGAATATGTAATTTTTATTTTTATATGATGATTAGTGTTTTTTTACCTAAATCCCTATTAGTAGAGTAGAGTTTAGAATTTAGAATTTAGGTAATCTATCGTTTTGGGTACGTAAAATCGCCCGCGGCTATTTATGTACGAAAACGTTACCTCATTGTCAAGGCTTTAATAGAAGTATATTGTCATACTTTTGTGTCAAATATTATAGATAAATGAATAATAAACCTAAATCAATGGCTAAATATATCGATATAGGCCAGAAATTAACTTTAAACAGCAGTGTCTGAGAGCAAGATTTGCTATATAAACAGCAGCCATTTGTAAAATAGAGTGGCTTCCCCCTGAATCTGGCGCTAAAAGCTTATAAAAATAAAACTTTGACAAGATGGCTGCTATAGTAAATGTGCATGGTTGCATCTGTTGGAAACATCGCTAGTCTTCATTTATTACAGAAAAGTTTTAATTCAATTGTTTAAAAACAGGTACATAAATGAATCAAGGAAACATTTCTGAATTTTTTAAAACATAAATCCTCCTCAAAATGTGAAATAATTATTAAAATTTAAGGAGTCACCTGTTTTTCACATTACAAATCGCGGGCGATTTTACGTACCCAAAACGATAGATTACCAGAATTTAAAATATTTTAGGCCGATGCTAGCCGGAATAAGATACGCATGCGCAATGGAGAGAAACTACGACTTGCCATCGCGGCAATGTTCTAGATGGTACTGCGCATGCGTGTTTACAACTGCAGAACCCTAACACCAACCCTAATCTTATCCCTAATCCTAGCCCTAATCCTATCCCTAACCCTAGCCCTAATACTAACCCTAATCCTATCCCTAATTCTAGCCCTAACCCTAGCTATAGGTCAATGCGCAGAGCTATCTTTTGCCGACTAAATGGAGACGTTGGGGAGAAAAATCTTCTTCCGAGTAGTCACTTCGAATATTTTAACAGGGTTTTCGGTATTGGCAGAGTTTGTGGTAAAAACATGACCCAAAAACTCCCATTATTTGATGACGAACACGCGAGATTTGGTTTTGCATACTAATAAGTTTTTAATTTAAGGTAAATTAAATAGTTTAAAAGGTCATTTCCTAATGTTAATTAAAAAGTAGAATGTTTTTCCAGTTGTTTTGATGTTTTTGTGATCTTATTGCATGCTGGGTATACATTTCAAGCCGTCCCTAGAGGATTTCATAGTGTCAGCCGCCAACCAACCAAACTGTGGAGAAAGCTCGTTTGGTTGGTTGGCGGATGACATCACGTGATGCATTTTTGTAATTTAATCCTTACTGACACAGATCGCCCGCAAACTGTTAAATTGTTTTATTGTAAAAAAGCATACTACTTTGGCTAGAGGTTATTAACCATCACATGAGTCTTGTGAACAACGCTTTTTTTTAAAAATAAATTTAGTTTCTGATGGTACATGACATTTAGGGCCTACATACAAATTAACACACAGAATTCCAATATTATATCATTCTAATCCAAACATTGATAACGAATAAATTCTACTCTATGTAAGTGTTGTAGCTTTAATCCTCGATACAACCGTAGTGTGTAACCGTGTTGTGAGTTAATTTGCTACAAAGTTAAATGCTGCAAGTAGGGGAGGTGAATATAACACCAGAATAGTTTTTTTAATAATGAGGTCATCATTAGTTCACACTTTATATTCAACTAAGCGAGAGGTGGAGGGTGCTGCTATTAACCCTTTACAGGCATATGCGCCTGCTCGCTCAAAAAAAATTGTATGTGGCACAGTCCTCTGCGTCAGTGGTTGCCCTACTTTGTATAGTACGCTTATTTATGTGTAGTAGCAGTAGTCTCGTTTGTAATGAGATTTTGAAGATACATATGGAAGCGGGAAATAATAAGTTTTATTTACAATTTACGTTATGTCGTTGTTCTATCACTACTGGTCCATTTTTTACTATTTCTCTTGGGTTAAGAAATTTTTTTTCTCAAAATTACGGGCAACATAATTAATGAAATTAAATCTAATTAAAATGCCTTTACCTTTATTTATAATGTAACTATTGAAAAAGAAAGTAGCTCAATGGTTAAAGATAAAATGATGATACTTTGCATATTTGTACTAGAGAATATAAGTAATAGAAAAATGCAAGTTAATTAAAACTGAGAAAAGAAGATATCTAGAAATAATAAATTTAGGGGTGTGGCACTGATTAATAGTGACTGCCAAGCCATAGGTCGATTTCCAGACTACACAGCTAGGTTGTTTTTAAAGATATCATGAAGCTTGAGATATTAGAACTAGAGAATGTAAAAAATACAATATTGCAATTAAAATAAACAGTTATAAGAAAACTACAAGCAATGAACTCCAATTAAGGTGCAGCATTGTCTATTTATGTTGATAACAGGCTAACTTCAATGTTGTACTTTGTTGCTATTATAGAAATAGGATTAAACTTTGTTTATTGATTCTGGTGTAAGTAATAAGAATGCCAGTAGGCTAGATACATTGGTGCAGGTAATGTATAAAGTAAAGAATCCTCTTTAAACAAAGCGATCCATTGGGCAGATGAAATAGAGTTCATGTTTTTTACCTCGGCATATGAAGGGAAGGTGTTATCAGTACTTTGCCCAACTGCCTTTACTTTCCCTTACATGAATTTGGTACCCATCAGAGCTGGGTGGACTCAGGACTTTCTACTGAGTTTGATCCAGATTCAAACTCAAGACTTAGGGTTAACAGCCTAGCACTCTACCGCTTAGGCCATGCAGTCCCATATAGGAAATAAATATACCATATAGGAAATGGATATAGCCTATAAAATAGGATACAATAACAGATTTGCCATAACTCAGAACAGAGTAGCATTCTCAGACACTGGTGTATAAAATATCACTAAACTGTTGGAAACATGAAATTTTCTTTCAATTAAGTAAATAAACAAGCGCGATCCACCAATATAGGAAAACCATTTTTGAAATGAATGTTAATACCTTGCTGTTAAAGCAACCCACTTTGAATGTTAAGATAATTGGAAAATGTGCTTAATCTATAGTCACCCTTCTCTGATCAGTTTTGGGCATTATTATAATATATTTATGAATTGTTGTCAGTGCAAAAAAAATTCTATTTAAAAAACCTTGAAACAATGTTCACTCAAAATTCCAGAGGGATAAAAGAAGAACACCAGGATGCCTACTGTTAAAGGTGATGGCATGCGAGGACTTGCTGTTTTTATTTCAGACATTAGAAATTGTGAGTACACATTTTTTTTAGCCAGCAGCTTGATACATAATTATATTCTAGACTTGTCTAATGCTAATAGTTGCATCACATAATGTTTTTCAATAAATAAAAAGCTTAAATAGAAAGCTACATTTTTAAAAAAAAAATATTGTAGGTAAAAGTAAAGAAGCTGAAATAAAAAGAATAAACAAAGAATTGGCAAACATAAGGTCAAAGTTTAAAGGTGAGTTTAATTTTAAAAATCTTATTTGTTACACATTTTTGACCAAGTAAACTTAGTCAGTTTTTAAATATTATTTTGTATTTGTGATTGTATTTTTGCTTGAAATCAACAGGAGACAAAACTTTGGATGGCTATCAGAAAAAAAAATATGTGTGTAAATTACTCTTCATATTTCTTTTGGGACATGACATAGATTTTGGTCACATGGAGGCAGTCAACCTGCTTAGCTCCAATAAATATACTGAAAAACAGATAGTAAGCATTTTCTATTTCAACATCTTGAGTAGTGTTTTTACATTTAGTGGGTGAATTGTTGCTTAGAAAATGGTACTGTTACTCATCATTAAACTGATATGTGTAAGTAAGCCCAGAAGAGAGATAAATGTAGTTGCTTGTGTTTTACAGGGTTATCTCTTCATCTCTGTGCTTGTTGGGGCCAGCAATGAGCTCATGAAGCTGGTCATACAGTCCATTAAGAATGATTTGTCAAGCCGCAATCCCATCCACATTAACTTGGCTCTACACTGCATGGCCAACATTGGCAGCCGTGAAATGGCTGATTCTGTTGGCTCAGATATCCCAAAACTGCTTGTGTCTGGGTAGGTCATCTTTTCTCTCACTTCTGTTGGCTCATATATCCCAAAACTGCTTGTGTCTGGGTAGGTCATCTTTTCTCTCACTTCTGTTGGCTCAGATATCCCAAAACTGCTTGTGTCTGGGTAGGTCATCTTTTCTCTCACTTCTGTTGGCTCAGATATCCCAAAACTGCTTGTGTCTGGGTAGGTCATCTTTTCTCTCACTTCTGTTGGCTCAGATATCCCAAAACTGCTTGTGTCTGGGTAGGTCATCTTTTCTCTCACTTCTGTTGGCTCAGATATCCCAAAACTGCTTGTGTCTGGGTAGGTCATCTTTTCTCTCACTTCTGTTGGCTCAGATATCCCAAAACTGCTTGTGTCTGGGTAGGTCATCTTTTCTCTCACTTCTGTTGGCTCAGATATCCCAAAACTACTTGTGTCTGGGTAGGTCATCTTTTCTCTCATCTTGTGTCATCTTGGCACATGCTTAAACGTTGTTTCCCTTTCAGACCTTAGGGTCCATGGGGTACATGATGTAGAGTTCAGTTCTTTCTGCAACCCCGGCATATGAAGGAATGGTGTGGTTAGCACTATGCCCAGTTGCGTTTACTTACCTTCCCTAGTGCCATCAGATCTGGGTTGACTCAGGCCTCGAGCCCAGGATCTTGACTATGTCTGTTAGTTATCATGCACTCTACTACATGACCTTGCCATCCTATAGATGCTTAGATTGGTCACTAAAACAGCCACTAGCTTGGCTATAAAGTAATTCTATAATATGCAGCCAATAGCTGTATTTTCTGCTAAATTACAAAAAAATTTGTCTCATTCCTCCATTTTGCTTTTGCTGAAGTTTGTTCCAGGTTTATTTTCCTTTGTTTTTTTTTTGCCACTATTGGTAATGTTGAGAGTTCACAGCAAGTCAGAACATTTGAGATTGGAAAACAAATCAAAGAATCCAAAATACTGGTTAATTAATCAAACCAAAAAAATGGTGTTACAACTGAAGTCTTGATTTTATAATATTATAGTGGGGTAGGGGATATTTAAAAAAAATTGTAATTTTTTAGACTAGATCTGGCTATTTTATTATATAACCATACTAAAACTATGTGCTTATATCTACTGTGTAGTGTAAAGCAGGGGACTAGGCACCTAGTGTTGTTAGGCCCAAGTTGACACCTATACTTGAAAGTAATGCCTATTTGACTGGATTGATATCTTTTGTTTTAATTGTTGCACATCTTCTGTATTTCTAGAGACACAATAGACTCTGTCAAACAAAGCGCAGGTCTGACACTGTTGCGTCTTCTTAGAGCTTCACCAGACATGATTCCCATTGGGGAATGGACTTCAAGGATCATTCATCTACTGAATGATCAACATATGGTTTGTAATATCCTAATATATAAAAAACCCCGTGCGCACTTCTCTCTCTCTCTCTCTCTTTGTCTGTCTGTCCGCAAAATATTTTCGCCGGACATCACATCAGAATCTACAGCGATATATCGAGAACTTTATACAGACTTTTGTTGAAAATAATATGGTAGATGTTTTAAATGTATAACCACAATTTTATTTAAAGAAGAAAAATAAAAAATAAAGGCGTATTCGAATGTAGAAAAACAATTTTATTTATGCAACCGGAAAAGTGTTTTAACTTGGGACAAGAACGCATTTAACAATGACGTCGCTTACTGTGTACACTAAAAAAAGAGCACGAAACTGATGACGTCATCTTCCGAGTTTAGAATAAAAAGAAATGAACTATTTCATTCAAATATGATTTAGAGCTATGTACGCTATGAAATGTATACAATACGATTTTCTCGGCCTAAACTTTAAAAAATTATTTTATCTATTTGGATTCTAGATCTAGAGATTCTAGATCTAGAGATTCTAGATGTAGATGATCTAGATCTACTTAAGGACAGCTTAAACCCCAAAAATGAATTTATGCAATTAGACTTAATTTACTTATTTCAAATGATGTAGGCTGATGAAAAAATCATTAGAAAACTATTTTTTGCTCTGAAGTGTTGTATACTTTCGTAAAAAAAATTTTTAAGCTATTTTTTTGGACGAAAACGACATAAAAACACATATTACTGTACAGCATATAGCAAAAACTAACAGATATTCAAATAAAACTTTGTATAACCATTATTTATTACATCTAAAATATAATGAACTAAAAATATTTGAAGTTGCAAACAAAACATATTTTTTGTACAATATTTAGTGGCATAGGTAAAAAAACACTCAGAAATTAACAGGGGGTGGGTGAAAAAAAAATTGTTTTAAAAAAAGTAAAGGAGATACAGCTATTATTTTAGCACAATGTGTTCTAATAATATTACTTGAAGTGTGTGTCAAATATTACATAAAAATATTGAAAACTTTTGGAGATATGATGTACACAAGAATTATTTTTTTTGAAATTCCATATTTTGAGAAAACAACAAAAATGTGATATAAAATGCTGTTATTTAAAATACAAGTTAAATTAGTGACCTCCTGCCACATAGGAGTCATCTTTAGGGTCTGTACAAGGTTTTTTTTTTCCTTTTCCCCTAGTAAGGGGTGCATTTATAAATTTTTGAGCTGCTTTTATGCGGGTGGTGTCAAATTTTTTAAAAGCCGAAATACAGTGGTACCCACAATTTAGACCTAAACTCCTAAAAATTGCTAGCCTACCCATCTCCCCCTCATTATAAACTATCACAGCATCAAACACTCCAATTTCTAACCTATCTTTCCCTACAAAAGTAACTTTAGGACATTTTTCCCAAATAATATGGTGGAACGCTTCATTAGCATTTTGCGTACCACCGTGCAAACATTTTTTTAGTAGAGTATCACTGGAAAGTTCAACAAATACTGGCTTTATAATTTCCATAACAAAATTAGGTAACTTATTTTTTATCTGACCTGTGCACCACTCACCACAATTTACATGAATACCTTTCCTATGCTCCCAAATTGCCCATATAGCCTTTTTCATCTTGTCTAAATTACCTACATTTGAACGAATAGCCCCCCCATAATGCCCCTGAATTCTTTTTATAGCTACTTTAGTCAATCTATCTTTGCCCCCAATACCTTTATATTTCTTCCCCCCTTCAGTAAAACTAACATTTTTATTTTCAGCTACTTTATCTAAAAGTTTTTTCCCCATCCTTTTTTGCACATGCCCGCAGCACTCCAACTTAGTAATGGAGGTGCCTTCATAAATTGGAGGAACAGCTTCAGCTATTTGCTTATAGCTTTTAGAGTCCCTAAATAGTTTGTGTACTTTAAATTATATAATTGTTCTGATCTGCGAAAGATCTTTTTTAGTCCAGCTGGTTCCATAGCACCTGCCGATCCATCATGGTTTTTTTTGCACAAATGTTTGTGGCCTTCAAGCCATTTGGCAAATTCATCGTCACCCAGTTTTTGGCCATCTTGCAACAGGTGTCACAATGATTTGTGAGAATGTCTACATCCAGGACTTTTGCAGGCACTTTGTTGCTCACTGAGAGGCAAGTTGATATGCCATTTTTGCTTGAAAAACCCCTGCGCTGCCAGGTTCCGTCGCAGGAGACAGTCACCTCACTTGTGGCCTCAACAGCTTGTAATTCCTCTGCTGCCTGTTTCATGCTCATATCTGCAGCCTGCTTTGTAGCATTGTGTATCCTAGTTTTATACACAGCTGCCCTAACACTGGAGACAGGCTGTGGCATATCCATGGCAGCCAGAAAACGACGCCCCTTGTTTTCATGGCAACCAATGCCATACATGGCAACTTGAAACCTCAGGTTTACATTTTCTTTGTGTGAAAATGTACTAATGTTCTTACATGTACTGCACTCAAATGTTAATTTGGTGTTGATCCCTGTTAACTGTTCATTAATATGAAACAGATTGTCCTTAGTTTCACCACATGAAGGGCAGGGAAATAAATTTATAAAAGATACCAGATCTTCTATGTTTATAAATCTGTAGCCACTCAAACTGCTGTTCTCTGTGACTGTGTCATCTGGCTTATTCAACTTTTGATAAGAAGACGACTTGCGAATTTCATGACTAGATCTAGTTGGATCTGCCATTTGTAGTGATGATGTAGATGTAGAATTAGATCTAGAATTAGATCTAGATCTAGTTGAAGGAGTTGAAGTTGAAGCCAGGCTGTCTGTGTCCCGATCGTCAGGATTTGTACTAGATCTAGATCCAGTACTAAGACTATCACTAGCATCGGCCGTGCTCTGATATGTGTACCGGTTTCCGTGAAACTTCCTCCTTTTGCTTCTAGATTTGTGAATTCTTTTCACTTTTTGTGTTGAATCCATTTCAATGAACAAATAAAACTCTTGTAATAGAATGTGAGAATCAAATCACTGGACTGTAGCGTTATCGAGAACGGAAATGCCGAGATACAGCGAGGTCGATGTAAACAAACAGGGTCTGTGAAAGGAGCTTTCTGATTGGCTGACATTCGAGTTTTTGTCATCCGATTCACATTATTGACCAATGAAAATTTATCTTTCATACACACTGGGTCTAGAAAGTAGTTTCGTTCGTATTTTTATTCTATGCCGCTTGGTGAAAAAATTATTAAAATCGGTTGAAAACTTTTCAAGTTACGCAAATTTTTAATTTTGCATAATTATGGCGATGGATTATCACATGAAGTGATCATTTTAAATAAATTATTTAAAATACTTTTTAATATATTTCACATATAATTTATACATAAACGTGTAGCAAATTGAATAAACTTAGCAATGAGACTATTTTTAGAAAAGTGATATTTTCAGTCCCAAATACTTCAAAACTGGGGTTTAAGCTGTCCTTAAAAACTAGACTTACACAGATGTAGACCCTACCTAGATCTAGAATCTATTCAAATAATACATTTCTATACTAAAGTATTTCAGGCCTTAATTACTTTATTGAAATCTTTGTTTATCTATGCAATTTGCTAATCTCTATAATATATAAAGCAAAGTCGTCGGGTGCCCGATAGGGCACTTCCCAGCGCCGCAGGCGCTTCAAATTTGGCAGGATCTTGCCTTGGGGCGACATAACACAGGGGCCGGTCGGCCGAAAAGTCTACGATGAGGGGGTCAAAACTGACCTCGACTGTCCGGCGCCTTATATGGGCGAATTAATTAAGCATTCAAATTCTCAATGTTTTCGAAAGCCTAAGCGAAGCTGGGCAGCATGCCTAGTAAGAGTAATAACAGCTGACAACTACTTTAAAAATATAGTCATTTATTTCATAGCATTAGATGGTCCCCTTAGAAATGATAAATTTATAAAATCAATATTTCCTGTAGAAAAAAGTAGTTAATGGTTAATTTAAAAAAGTACACAGTATTTAAAATATCTGTTTACTGGAAATAGCTCAAAAGTTGATTTTTCTTCTTTTTGATTTGCACAATCACAAGATTTTCCTTTTACTCGATAGATGAGGAAGTAATAACAAAATTTAAGTTTAAAGGTTATAACATTCCACAATTTACTTTTATAGGGTTCTTATCATTTGGGGATTAGATTTCAGAATAGGTATGAAAAAAGAGTGGCACCTTTTTACCATGTGCGGACTTGATGTTTCTTAAAACTTGGTTCTGATGTCATCATCTTTAAAAAATTTAGAATTTCTATGGACAGTGTTTGATTTTCTCATTTCAGGGTGTGGTCACATCAGCTACAAGCTTGATAGAAGCTTTGGTCAGAAAAAATCCTGAGGAATACAAGGCTTGTGTGTCATTGGCTGTGTCTAGACTTAGTCGAGTAAGTTACTGGCTTCATTGGGTTTACAGTTCTTTACTTCCTAAAGCTGGGCCTTGCTAGTTCTGTTTAACTTGTGCCTACATCTTCAAGTATTTGTATATTAAAGTGGGTGATTGTACTCACTCTACTGACACAGCTGTCAGCTACTAGTCAAACACTAAAGTGTTTTGGGGCTGCACATGCACTACAGTTAACTATGAAAACATTCATCTAAACATTACATTCACAAAAGTTTAAAACCAAATAAAAACATTTTTTAGTTGACACTTTCTATTTTCTAGTTTATTTTGTTTAACGATGAAAATGATGAGCTATTGTCATACTATTTCAGCAATGAATAATTTATGTAAGCTTAAATAGGAAAATTGCTTAATATTATTTAGATCCATTGCTGAGAATTATGTCTGAATGAGTACTGTTGTGTGGTCTCTGTAGCTGTGTTCCTTCAAGGGGTGGGCATGTCTGTCTGTTGTACTCTCTGTAGCTGTGTTCCTTCAAGGTGTGGGCATGTCTGTCTGTTGTACTCTCTGTAGCTGTGTTCCTTCAAGGTGTGGGCATGTCTGTCTGTTGTACTCTCTGTAGCTGTGTTCCTTCAAGGGGTGGGCATGTCTGTCTGTTGTACTCTCTGTAGCTGTGTTCCTTCAAGGGGTGGGCATGTCTGTCTGTTGTACTCTCTGTAGCTGTGTTCCTTCAAGGGGTGGGCATGTCTGTCTGTTGTACTCTCTGTAGCTGTGTTCCTTCAAGGTGTGGGCATGTCTGTCTGTTGTACTCTCTGTAGCTGTGTTCCTTCAAGGGGTGGGCATGTCTGTCTGTTGTACTCTCTGTAGCTGTGTTCCTTCAAGGGGTGGGCATGTCTGTCTGTTGTACTCTCTGTAGCTGTGTTCCTTCAAGGTGTGGGCATGTCTGTCTGTTGTACTCTCTGTAGCTGTGTTCCTTCAAGGGGTGGGCATGTCTGTCTGTTGTACTCTCTGTAGCTGTGTTCCTTCAAGGGGTGGGCATGTCTGTCTGTTGTACTCTCTGTAGCTGTGTTCCTTCAAGGGGTGGGCATGTCTGTCTGTTGTACTCTCTGTAGCTGTGTTCCTTCAAGGGGTGGGCATGTCTGTCTGTTGTACTCTCTGTAGCTGTGTTCCTTCAAGGTGTGGGCATGTCTGTCTGTTGTACTCTCTGTAGCTGTGTTCCTTCAAGGGGTGGGCATGTCTGTCTGTTGTACTCTCTGTAGCTGTGTTCCTTCAAGGGGTGGGCATGTCTGTCTGTTGTACTCTCTGTAGCTGTGTTCCTTCAAGGGGTGGGCATGTCTGTCTGTTGTACTCTCTGTAGCTGTGTTCCTTCAAGGTGTGGGCATGTCTGTCTGTTGTACTCTCTGTAGCTGTGTTCCTTCAAGGGGTGGGCATGTCTGTCTGTTGTACTCTCTGTAGCTGTGTTCCTTCAAGGGGTGGGCATGTCTGTCTGTTGTACTCTCTGTAGCATGTCACTAGATCAGTGCTCTCATCTCTCACAGATTGTCACAGCCTCCTACACAGACCTGCAGGACTACACATATTATTTTGTCCCTGCCCCCTGGCTTTCTGTCAAACTGCTTAGACTGCTGCAGAATTATCCTCCACCAGGTAAGTTTATGCAGTGTTGCAAGGATGTGAGCACTTCCTACAAAATTTTTTATGAGATTTGTATTTTTCACTTTCACTTGTAGGTTAGTTAGTTACAATGTATCTAACAGGATTGGTAATTCAGTGTCCATTCTTTGAAGAAAAAAAAATCACTTGTCTAACTGCTGCTCTCTGTTGATAAAGATACTGATTTCTTGAACTCACAGTGACCCATTGAGAGTGTCTACACCAGCAATTTTTACCAGGCTATTATTAAAACAAAAAATGGCTTGGTTACTATTAGAATGATTGTAGTTCAAATGAGCTAAAATATGTTCATATTTATTAAGAAAGATTCTTTAATAAATAACTATTCAGAAGGGACAGATTACAATTAAAAAGGACTTAAATAATAAGGGCGTGACAGTGCTTTATGAAGATATATTAGAAATGCTTACTGTATAGAGGCTGACTGCCAGGAGATTTATATTAGACTAGCTTACCCATTCTTCAGGTTGTTGCGGGCTGACACAATATTTTAATAGAATTTCATCAATGTGTGTCCATTAGCGTATTTTTAGACTCATGACCTTTGTTTCTAAAACTGAGTTATTTAAATGAATCATGGTTGTTGGGGCACAGTTACCTCCTAGAGGCCCCAGGGCGTGTTGTATGCAAATCTTGCATGTACATTAGTTACACTCCATAATAGTGAGGTAGACGCACCATGGCAACCACCCAAGCATCAGGGGCATTGCAGGGCACTCCCGGAAGCTACCAGTTATACTACCGCAGGGGTGCCAGGTACGGCCCCAGGTTCAGTTTAATCATCAAATGTCATGTGCCACAGTGTGTCCTTATTGTAGGTTGTTCTTCAAAAATCACACCCTGTACTAATGAGCGAAAGTAATACATAAAGGATAAACAAACACACACACCCCTACATACTTTGATTTATGTATACATATTATATAGATAATCTTTTTCCTGCCAGAGGATCCAAGTGTTAGAACCCGTCTGACTGAATGCCTGGAGACCATATTAAACAAAGCTCAAGAACCACCCAAGTCTAAGAAAGTGCAACACTCCAATGCCAAGAATGCAGTACTTTTTGAGGCCATCAACCTCATCATTCACATGGACAGTGACCCCAATCTACTGGTCAGGGCCTGTAACCAACTGGGACAGTTCCTTCAACACAAGGAGACTAACTTGAGGTAAGCTGGCTGTTTTTTCATCTACATTTTATTTAATAAGGTGTCATGTCTGTAGTTTGAATTTGGTTTTAAGTCAGTAGAATGCCCCAGAGTCCACCCAGCTCTGATGGGTACCTAAGTCATTTTAGGGAAAGTAAAAGTTGCTGGGCTTTGTGCTGACTACTTCATATGCGGAGGTCAAAGAAACAAGTGATCTATACTTAACTCAAGGACATCATGGTTTAAAAATGGAACTTTACCCATATAATATCACATGCTACCCCTATAATGTCACGCTACCCTTGAATTGTCACATGCTACCCGTATAATGTCACATGCTACCCCTATAATATCACATGCTACCCCTATAATGTCACGCTACCCTTGAATTGTCACATGCTACCCGTATAATGTCACATGCTACCCCTATAATATCACATGCTACCCCTATAATGTCACATGCTACCCCTATAATGTCACATGCTACCCTTGTATTGTCACATGCTACCCATATAATGTCACATGCTACCCCTATAATGTCACATGCTACCCTCATAATGTCACATGCTACCCTTCTCTATTCAGATACCTGGCACTTGAAAGTATGTGCTTGCTGGCCACTTCAGAGTTTTCTCATGAAGCTGTTAAAAAACATCAGGATACAGTCATTACAGCACTTAAGGTAACCTTTAGTTCAGTCATCACAACGCTTAAGCTCACCTTTAGTTCAGTCATCACCATGTATAAAGTCACCTTTAGTACAGTCATCACTATTATTTTGTGTCAATATTTGTTTTTCAGACTGAGCGTGATATTATTTTGTGTCAATATTTGTTTTTCAGACTGAGTGTGATATTATTTTGTGTCAATATTTGTTTTTCAGACTGAGCGTGATATTATTTTGTGTCAATATTTGTTGTGTTTCAGACTGAGCGTGATGTCAGTGTGAGACAAAGAGCTGTTGACCTGCTGTATGCTATGTGTGACCGCAGCAATGCAGAGGAGATTGTAGGAGAGATGTTGGAGTATTTGGAGTCAGCAGATTATTCCATCAGAGAAGAAATGGTAGCTATGTGAACTTTGTCTAGGTAGGCCAGTTTAGTTGTGATTCTGCTCTCATTGCTTTAGATGCCATTGTGTTTTAGGTGCTGAAAGTTGCCATACTGGCTGAGAAGTACGCTGTTGATTACACCTGGTACGTGGATGTTATCCTCAACCTCATAAGGATTGCTGGTGACTACGTCAGTGAAGAGGTTTGTTTACTTTAGGGAATTAAGTCATTATTTCAATTGTGAGAAACTTTGCCAATTCAAATAGAATTTGTTACAATACTGTTTTAAAAAACTATGAGAAAGTTAATGTATTTTTCCGTGTGTGTTTTCTAGGTGTGTTAGAAAGTTATTCAGATAGTTATCAACTGTATGTTTGTATGTTTTAGGTGTGGTACAGAGTTATTCAGATAGTTATCAACAGAGATGATGTCCAAGGTTATGCTGCCAAGACAGTGTTTGAGGTAAAGCTTACTCCTACATTAGGAGCAATAGTCATGTTGAACCTGCTCACTTAAAGCCTGTCTCTAACCAAACGTACTCACTCCTACATTAGGAGCAATAGTCATGTTGAACCTACTCACTTAAAGCCTGTCTCTGACCAAACGTACTCACTCCTACATTAGGAGCAATAGTCATGTTGAACCTGCTCACTTAAAGCCTGTCTCTGATTCTTCTCTCATTTGTTTAGGCACTTCAAGCCCCTGCCTGTCATGAGAACATGGTTAAAGTGGGCGGATACATCCTCGGAGAGTTTGGCAATTTAATTGCTGGGGATCCAAGATCTAGGTAAGGACTGAGTTAAAACAGCAGATTTTGTCAAATAAAGGTCTTATTTTTCATGTCACACATAAAAGCTACATTAGCTTAGAATTGTTCCTGACATGTCAGACATACAAGTAGTACTACATTAGCTTAGAATTGTTCCTTACATGTCAGACATACAAGTAGTACTACATTAGCTTAGAATTGTTCCTTACATGTCAGACATACAAGTAGTACTACATTAGCTTAGAATTGTACCTTACATGTCAGACATACAAGTAGTACTACATTAGCTTAGAATTGTACCTTACATGTCAGACATACAAGTAGTACTACATTAGCTTAGAATTGTTCCTTACATGTCAGACATACAAGTAGTTCCCCACCTGATGTTTCCCCAGCCCACTGGTCCAGTTCCAGCTGCTCCACTCTAAGTACCACTTGTGTAGTCCCAACACCCGAGGTCTCCTCTTGTCTACCTACATCAAGTTCATCAACCTTTTCCCTGAGATTAAGCCCAGCATACAGGAGGTGAGTTTGGCAACTGGTCTTTATTACAATAGTTACCAACATAAAGGTCAGCGCTGGTCTTTATTACAATAGTTACCAACATAAAGGTCAGCGCTGGTCTTTATTACAATAGTTACCAACATAAAGGTCAGCGCTGGTCTTTGTTACAATAGTTTCCAACCCTACCACAATGTCAAAAAACTAGAGCTGCTTCTCCTTCTCTGCAGATACTGGGCAGTGACAACAACTTGAGGAATCCAGATGTTGAGTTACAGCAGAGGTGCATTGAATATCTCCAGCTCAGTACAGTTGCATCTCCAGATGTTTTAGTAAGTGCTGGATAACACTGGTCATAATGTTGGTCATCATGTTGGCTCTGTCAAATGTCATGTCACAATGTTGGCTCTGTCAAATGTCATGTCACAATGTTGGCTCTGTCTGGTCACAATGTTGGCTCTGTCTGGTCACAATGTTGGCTCTGTCTGGTCACAATGTTGGCTCTGTCTGGTCACAATGTTGGCTCTGTCAAATGTCATGTCACAATGTTGGCTCTGTCTGGTCACAATGTTGGCTCTGTCTGGTCACAATGTTGGCTCTGTCTGGTCACAATGTTGGCTCTGTCTGGTCACAATGTTGGCTCTGTCAAATGTCATGTCACAATGTTGGCTCTGTCAACTGTCAGGTCACAATGTTGGCTCTGTCTGGTAACAATGTTGGCTCTGTCTGGTCACAATGTTGGCTCTGTCAAATGTCATGTCACAATGTTGGCTCTGTCAACTGTCAGGTCACAATGTTGGCTCTGTCTGGTCACAATGTTGGCTCTGTCTGGTCACAATGTTGGCTCTGTCAAATGTCATGTCACAATGTTGGCTCTGTCAACTGTCAGGTCACAATGTTGGCTCTGTCTGGTAACAATGTTGGCTCTGTCTGGTCACAATGTTGGCTCTGTCAAATGTCATGTCACAATGTTGGCTCTGTCAACTGTCAGGTCACAATGTTGGCTCTGTCTGGTCACAATGTTGGCTCTGTCTGGTCACAATGTTGGCTCTGTCTGGTCACAATGTTGGCTCTGTCTGGTCACAATGTTGGCTCTGTCTGGTCACAATGTTGGCTCTGTCTAGTCACAATGTTGGCTCTGTCAAATGTCATGTCACAATGTTGGCTCTGTCAAATGTCATGTCACAATGTTGGCTCTGTCAAATGTCAGGTCACAATGTTGGCTCTGTCTGGTCACAATGTTGGCTCTGTCTGGTCACAATGATGGCTCTGTCAAATGTCAGGTCATAATGTTGGCTCTGTCAAATGTCATGTCACAATGTTGGCTCTGTCAAATGTCAGGTCACAATGTTGGCTCTGTCTGGTCACAATGTTGGCTCTGTCTGGTCACAATGATGGCTCTGTCAAATGTCAGGTCATAATGTTGGCTCTGTCAAATGTCAGGTCACAATGTTGGCTCTGTCAAATGTCAGGTCACAATGTTGGCTCTGTCTGGTCACAATGTTGGCTCTGTCTGGTCACAATGTTGGCTCTGTCAAATGTCAGGTCACAATGTTGGCTCTGTCAAATGTCATGTCACAATGTTGGCTCTGTCAAATGTCAGGTCACAATGTTGGCTCTGTCAAATGTCAGGTCACAATGTTGGCTCTGTCAAATGTCATGTCACAATGTTGGCTCTGTCTGGTCACAATGTTGGCTCTGTCAAATGTCAGGTCACAATGTTGGCTCTGTCAAATGTCAGGTCACAATGTTGGCTCTGTCAAATGTCATGTCACAATGTTGGCTCTGTCTGGTCACAATGTTGGCTCTGTCAAATGTCAGGTCACAATGTTGGCTCTGTCTGGTCACAATGTTGGCTCTGTCAAATGTCATGTCACAATGTTGGCTCTGTCAAATGTCAGGTCACAATGTTGGCTCTGTCAAATGTCATGTCACAATGTTGGCTCTGTCAAATGTCATGTCACAATGTTGGCTCTGTCAAATGTCAGGTTACAATGTTGGCTCTGTCAAATGTCAGGTTACAATGTTGGCTCTGTCAAATGTCAGGTCACAATGTTGGCTCTGTCTGGTCACAATGATGGCTCTGTCAAATGTCAGGTTACAATGTTGGCTCTGTAATTTGACATCTTTATTCCATCAGGCCACAGTGTTGGAGGAAATGCCCCCCTTCCCAGAGCGTGAGTCTTCAATATTAGCCAAATTAAAGAAGAAGAAGCCAACATCAGCACCAGAAGGAGGAGAAACTAAAGAAAAAGAACATCGTAGCATTCCACAAGCTCAAATAAACAGTTCTGAAGCTTCGTTTGTTCAGCTCACACCTGTAAGTCAAGCTCCCACCCATGCATTTTATTGAGCTCCTACCTATGTGTTAACTCCTGCATTTAAGTGTTCAATAATCCCCTGTAAAAATTGAGCTCTCATTCATAAATTTTGAGCTCCTCCCTCCCACATTTAAGTGTTTAACTCCCACCTGTAAATATTGAGCTCCTACTTTTAAGTTTTAAGGCTAGACACCACACTTCTGAAATTTTTTCCCTGATAGATAGTCAGACCATTGAGCTATCTAACCTGACCTCTACAGCCTACGCTCATCCTTTTATGAGGGTGTCGCCTCAGATTTTAAACTTCATTATTGCTCAAGATGACTTAAACAATTAAAAACTACATTTATTTACCTTTAATTTTATACCAATTTTAATTACCAAAATTAATTGCTAGCCTAGAAAATGATTAGTGAAATCACACGTTTGTTTTTAAATGGCTACGATGATATGACTGATACTCAGTGATATGATGGGCTAGTTTTTAACCATTAATGATTTATAATGCACGCTGCTGCCTGCCTACAATATTAAATTAAATTTATAAAATTAAATTTGTTTCTTATAAACTTGGCCTACAATTCCTAAATTTTTAACTAAACAGGATTTGGATAGTTTCAGCAACATTTTCCAGTTTACTAATTTCAAAGGCAATTTTAAAATATCTACATAGTATTAGTCTGTTTCCATCCTAAAATTTTAGACTCATCTGCAGAGGGCGTAGCGACCCTTCCCGGCGCCCGGGGACAAACTTTCAATTTGGCGCCCCCCTCTGGAACAAATTTTCAATTTGCACCACCCCTCCCCCTCAAACTTTCCATTTGCACCCCCACCCCCATATATTTTTCATATTTATAATGACAAACTGCATCTAAAATGAGATTTTAATTTGTTTTTCCAACCCATTTTGGCGCCCCCTAAGGTCGGCGCCCGGGGACATATGTACCCCCCTGCCTCCCCTTCGCTACGCCTCTGCTCATCTGTCCTATTTTTAGTTGATTTAAAACTAAAAATAAAATATAAACATGCCTAAAAATGTAGCTAGGCATTATTTTATGAATTATATGTCTTAAACATAACCAAATTGATGTTCAACTGTCAAATTTGATGCATAGTTGTTTAGACAAAAATAAACAAAGTTGACTACCCAAAATGACCGATTTAGGATTTTTCTGACATTTTTATTTTTATACTGTACTTCTACCGAATATATTCTATTCTATTTAATACTGTTGGAGAGCCAGATTTAATTCCAACATTAAGCAGTAGTTTTTATCTACTCTCACCTCTAAATGTTGAGCACTCACCTTAAGGTGTTAAGCTCCGACCTGTAAATGTTAAGCTCCCACCTGTAAGTGTTAACCTCCCATTTATAAATGTTAAGCCTCCATATTAAGGTGTTAAGCTCCCACCTGTAAATGTTAAGCTCCCACCTGTAAATGTTAAGCTCCCACATGTAAATGTTAAGCTCCCACATGTAAATGTTAAGCTCCCACATGTAAATGTTAAGCTCCCACCTGTAAGTGTTAAGCTCCCACCTGTAAGTGTTAAGCTCCCACCTGTAAATGTTAAGCTCCCACATGTAAATGTTAAGCTCCCACATGTAAATGTTAAGCTCCCACCTGTAAGTGTTAAGCTCCCACCTGTAAGTGTTAAGCTCCCACCTGTAAATGTTAAGCTCCCACCTGTAAATGTTAAGCTCCCACATGTAAATGTTAAGCTCCCACCTGTAAATGTTAAGCTCCCACATGTAAATGTTAAGCTCCCACATGTAAATGTTAAGCTCCCACATGTAAATGTTAAGCTCTGACCTGTAAATGTTAAGCTCCCACCTGTAAGTGTTAAGCTCCCACCTGTAAGTGTTAAGCTCCCACCTGTAAGTGTTAAGCTCCCACCTGTAAGTGTTAAGCTCCCACCTGTAAATGTTAAGCTCCCACATGTAAATGTTAAGCTCCCACCTGTAAATGTTAAGCTCCGACCTGTAAATGTTAAGCTCCCACATGTAAATGTTAAGCTCCCACATGTAAATGTTAAGCTCCCACATGTAAATGTTAAGCTCCCACCTGTAAATGTTAAGCTCCGACCTGTAAATGTTAAGCTCCCACATGTAAATGTTAAGCTCCCAAATGTAAATGTTAAGCTCCGACCTGTAAATGTTAAGCTCCCACCTGTAAGTGTTAAGCTCCCACCTGTAAATGTTAAGCTCCCACATGTAAGTGTTAAGCTCCGACCTGTAAATGTTGATCTCTGTTTAGGCTGCCAGTACAGCCAATGCTGGAGGAGTGAGTGTGGACTTGCTGGGTCTAGAGACAGCTCCAGCTCCTGCCCCAACAGGTCTCAACTTCCTTGTTGATGTCTTTGGTGAGCAGCCAGCCACCAATGGCTTTGATTCTTCACTTCATTCCTTAACACCAGGAGCTGAAGAGAACTTTAAAAAGTAGGAGATTTTTTTTTACTCAACAACTTTCATTTATTTCTTATTTTAACAATGATTTTTTTATTGATAATGATAGTTTTTATTGATAAATACTTCATTACAACTCAATTTCATATTTGCAGATATTGACACCAGTGTATCAAAAATACTTTTCTTTACAGATTTATTTGCAAGCATAATGGGGTACTTTTTGAAAATGAACTCCTCCAAATAGGTATAAAGTCTGAATATCGACAAAATCTTGCTCGTGTGGGCGTGTTTTTTGGCAACAAAACCACATTCCAGTTCACACATTTCACATCAGACCTAGTCTTACCTGGCAACTTGGCTTCTTGTATCCTTTTCTCACTAAGCCACTGGTACAAACTGGTGCCAGTTTCATGAGATTTATTCACTTCAAATGTAGTTAGCAAAGGTTTTGAGTGACCTGAACAAATGTAGTTAGTAATGGTCTTGAGTGAACCTGAACAAATGTAGTTAGTAAAGGTCTTGAGTGACCTGAGCAAATGTAGTTAGTAAAGGTCTTGAGTTACCTGAGCAAATGTAGTTAGTAAAGGTCTTGAGTGACCTGAGCAAATGTAGTTAGTAAAGGTCTTGAGTGACCTGAGCAAATGTAGTTAGTAAAGGTCTTGAGTGACCTGAGCAAATGTAGTTAGTAAAGGTCTTGAGTGACCTGAGAAAATGTAGTTAGTAAAGGTCTTGAGTGACCTGAGCAAATGTAGTTAGTAAAGGTCTTGAGTGACCTGAGCAAATGTAGTTAGTAAAGGTCTTGAGTGACCTGAGCAAATGTAGTTAGTAAAGGTCTTGAGTGACCTGAGCAAATGTAGTTAGTAAAGGTCTTGAGTGACCTGAGCAAATGTAGTTAGTAAAGGTCTTGAGTGACCTGAGAAAATGTAGTTAGTAAAGGTCTTGAGTGACCTGAGCAAATGTAGTTAGTAAAGGTCTTGAGTGACCTGAGAAAATGTAGTTAGTAAAGGTCTTGAGTGACCTGAGCAAATGTAGTTAGTAAAGGTCTTGAGTGACCTGAGCAAATGTAGTTAGTAAAGGTCTTGAGTGACCTGAGCAAATGTAGTTAGTAAAGGTCTTGAGTGACCTGAGCAAATGTAGTTAGTAAAGGTCTTGAGTGACCTGAGCAAATGTAGTTAGTAAAGGTCTTGAGTGACCTGAGCAAATGTAGTTAGTAAAGGTCTTGAGTGACCTGAGCAAATGTAGTTAGTAAAGGTCTTGAGTGACCTGAGCAAATGTAGTTAGTAAAGGTCTTGAGTGACCTGATCAAATGTAGTTAGTAAAGGTCTTAAGTTACCTGAACAAATGTAGTTAGTAAAGGTCTTGATTGACCTGAGAAAATGTAGTTAGCTAGTAAACTTGAGGTCAGCTGTTTCCTTGACTGGGACAGCCTTGAGTGTACAGCCTAAAGCAGTGGAGCCTAATGTTGATGGAGGAGCTCAGGTGCAGCAGCTGTTTAATATTGAGTGTACAGCTGAATTCAGTGATTCCCCACTGCTCAACATTAGCTTTACGTAAGTTGATACATCTGCTTTTTATAACTTATGGTATTTTTATAATTTAGTATATGAGCGCCGTCTATATTATCCAGTTATGTTTTAAACTTGCCATTAGCAATACGTCTCTGTAGGCCAATCTATTTTCTGTTTCAGTTACTATAAGCTAATCTATTTTCTATTCCAGCTACTGTGGAAAATCCCAGAAATTGAGCTTAAAGCTACCTGTAATAATTAATAAATTTTTGGAGGCTGCTGAAATGAATGCAGAAGCATTTTTCACACGCTGGAAAGCATTGTCACAGTAAGTAAATTCTGTAGGTTCTGTTAAATGCTTGGACAGAATAGGACATCACTTTGTGACATGCACTAAGTAGGACATCACTTTGTGACATGCACTAAGTAGGACATCACTTTCTGACATGTAGTAAGTAGGACATCACTTTGTGACATGCACTAAGTAGGACATCACTTTCTGACATGTAGTAAGTAGGACATCAATTTGTGACATGTAGTAAGGACATTAATTTGTGACATGCACTAAGTAGGACATTAATTTGTGACATGCACTAAGTAGGACATCAATTTGTGACATGCACTAAGTAGGACATCACTTTCTGACATGTAGTAAGTAGGACATGATCAATTTGTGACATGCACTAAGTAGGACATCAATTTGTGACATGCACTAAGTAGGACATCAATTTGTGACATGCAGTAAGTAGGACATCACTTTGTGACATGCACTAAGTAGGACATCACTTTGTGACATGCACTAAGTAGGACATCACTTTCTGACATGTAGTAAGTAGGACATCAAATTTCAGGCCAGAACAAGAGTGCCAAAAGATATTTAAAGCCCAGTACCCTCAAGACACAGAACAAGTCAAACAAAAGGTAATGTGACACGACCTGCTGGGCGGCATTTATTTAGAGGTTGATATTGTTTTGTTAGATTTTTTTTTTCAAATCATTTCAGATATTAGGGTTTGGTCTAAGTTTCTGTTGTATATTTCAGATATTAGGGTTTGGTCTAAGTTTCTGTTGTATATTTCAGATATTAGGGTTTGGTCTAAGTTTCTGTTGTATATTTCAGATATTAGGGTTTGGTCTAAGTTTCTGTTGTATATTTCAGATATTAGGGTTTGGTCTAAGTTTCTGTTGTATATTTCAGATATTAGGGTTTGGTCTAAGTTTCTGTTGTATATTTCAGATATTAGGGTTTGGTCTAAGTATTCTACAAGGGATAGATCCCAATCCAGACAACTTTGTCTCGTCTGGGATTCTCCACACAAGGAACCAGCAAGTGGGTTGTTTGGTTCGTCTAGAGCCAAATAAACAAATGCAGGTAAGATGCTCAACCCTTGGTTCACCTAGAGCCAAATAAACAAATGCAGGTAAGATGCTCAACCCTTGGTTCACCTAGAGCCAAATAAACAAATGCAGGTAAGATGCTCAACCCTTGGTTCACCTAGAGCCAAATAAACAAATGCAGGTAAGATGCTCAACCCTTGGTTCACCTAGAGCCAAATAAACAAATGCAGGTAAGATGCTCAACCCTTGGTTCACCTAGAGCCAAATAAACAAATGCAGGTAAGATGCTCAACCCTATGTCTGGATGAGCATCCCAAAGAGAACTATGACATTTTTAAAAAACTTTTTCTTAGCTCACATCTCAAAAATTTCCAGTACATCCATTTCCGATGACAACACAAGAATATCTCATTTCCAGTGTAATTAAGATTTGAAATTAGTCATTGAAAAATAAGAAAAAGTAAGATGACATGATAAATTGCTAGCCATCACTTGGAAAAAACGATAGAACCAATTTGCTTGCTTTAAGAAAAGCACAGGTCACTCACTGACAAAAAATGCCACTTTTAGTCACCAGTGTGTTTACTGAAGAAAGAAATTTTTAGTGCATTTAAAATTTTATTATAAAGATTTCTTAATTTAATTCTAAAGTAGCAGATATCAAGTTGACTCCAGCCTGAAGGAGTTTTGTTTGTCTTGTCCCCAGATGTATCGCCTGACCATTAGATCGACCAAACCCAGCATTTCTCAGGCTTTAGGTGGCCTGTTGGAGAGCCAGTTTTAACAGAACACTCGGCCTTTAGTAGTTCCCATCTTGACTGTATTCCTCATTGTGACTAGGCTGTTCTAGAAGATTGTTGCTACATGTTCATGTTAGGCTGCTCATTAGATCATGGTCTGGCTCTAGATCAACTGTGTTAATTTTATTTATTTCTATTGGCTTTTTTTGTTTGCAAACTGTCCAGGGCACCAGATCAGCAGTGTGTCACAGGCTGGTCATCAGACATTGCTTGCTCAATGTGGGCATCTGACATTAGTCAGCAGATTGTTTATCTGTCAGTTGTCATGACACTCGGCCAAATTTAGCCAGAGATTTTTTCTTTATGTGCATCTGATTTAATTTCACTTTAGTCCTAGAACTTTTACCCCATTCTTTCAAGATTTGCTAAATTGTTTGTAACTTAGAATGCATGCTGGGTTAGTTGGTTTCAGCTAGGACATTTTATGATGGTCCCAGTGGTGACACCAGCCCAGGGTCCCAGTGGTGACACCAGCCCAGGGTCCCAGTGGTGACACCAGCCCAGTGGTGACACCAGCCCAGTGGTGACACCAGCCCAGTGGTGACACCAGCTCAGTGGTGACACCAGCCCAGTGGTGACACCAGCTCAGTGGTGACACCAGCCCAGGGTCCCAGTGGTGACACCAGCTCAGTGGTGACACCAGCTCAGTGGTGACACCAGCTCAGTGGTGACACCAGCCCAGGGTCCCAGTGGTGACACCAGCCCAGTGGTGACACCAGCCCAGTGGTGACACCAGCCCAGGGTCCCAGTGGTGACACATGTAAGCAGCTGTAGCTATGTATCTGGTTTGTGCCCCTATGACTTGATGTGGCTGAATAAGCTGGTGGGTCCAAGGGTGGGTCACTACAAAATGCTGTGTACAAGATCATTCTCCTCATATATACACATGTGTATGTATATGGTTATATTTTGCCTATATAAAGCCATACACACTTTACACACATACACCCCCACTGCAGATTGACCCTCACATACACCCACAGTATAGACTGAGCCTTCTTGTGATGTGGCTCTAGTCATTGTATCTGGTTGGTGTTTTCAAGTTATTGACTGGCATATGTTGTAGTGGGGCTCCTGTTGACTGGCATATGTTGTAGTGGGGCTCCTGTTGACTGGCATATGTTGTAGTGGGGCCCCTGTTGACTGGCATATGTTGTAGTGGGCTATAATGTCCTGTACTAGCCACATTCCAGTTTTTGTATAAATTTTTAGCACCAATTTACCCCCACCCCCCCACACCACAGGTAGACTGGTGCTTGCAGGACCTTCACACCTTGGCATAAATGGACATAACAGTTTACTTCTTTTAACCTTGAATAAATATATCAACTTAATCCTATTGTTTTATTATTACTGTACTATTGTTTATATCATGAGTATGTTTTATTCAAGATGAATGTACTTCTACCAACCAATTTTGGGCTCATGTTAGCTTATTTACAAAATTTAGGCATTTTTTTTTTTTTTTGCATCCTATGTTCTTAAGTTAAACTAAAATGGTGATGAGTGCAAGATGAAGAATGTTGGAAATGATGTGCAATAACTTGTTGATGTTTTATATGACTTACCTGGCCTTCCCAACAAGTTGTACCTGGATGGGGAGCAGGCTCATCTCCCCTAGCTACACACTGAGACAGTCCTCACCCTTTTGTGCTAGATGTCATTAGTTTTTTCCTCTGCTCCAGTATCTAGTTAGTTTTAAACTGGTCTAGCATGTATTTAAGGGGAGAAAACTTTTTATTCTTAGGTCAATTAGTTAGTAATGGATGTCATGTCACCACCATGATCAAATAATAAAATGGCTTTCACCATGTTTTGTTTGTTGAGCATATAACATTGGCAACCCATCACACAACTGGTCAAACATGAGCTGACCCATCACACAACTGGTCAAACACAGGCTGACCCATCACACAACTGGACAAACACAGGCCAACTCTTCACACAGGCTGACCCATCACACAACTGGTCAAACACAGGTCAATTCTTCACAAGGACTGACCCATCACACAACTGGTCAAACACAGGCTGACCCATCACACAACTGGTCAAACACAGGCTGACCCATCACACAACTGGACAAACACAGGCCAACTCTTCACACGGGCTGACCCATCACACAACTGGTCAAACACAGGTCAATTCTTCACATGGGCTGACCCATCACACAACTGGACAAACACAGGCCAACTCTTCACACGGGCTGACCCATCACACAACTGGTCAAACACAGGCCAACTCCTCACATGAGCTGACCCATCACACAACTGGTCAAACACAGGTCAATTCTTCACACGGGCTGACCCATCACACAACTGGACAAACACAGGCCAACTCTTCACACGGGCTGACCCATCACACAACTGGTCAAACACAGGCCAACTCCTCACATGAGCTGACCCATCACACAACTGGTCAAACACAGGCCAACTCTTCACATGGGCTGACCCATCACACAACTGGACAAACACAGGCTGACCCATCACACAACTGGACAAACACAGGCCAACTCTTCACACGGGCTGACCCATCACACAACTGGACAAACACAGACTGACCCATCACACAACTGGACAAACACGGGCTGACCCATCACACAACTGGACAAACACGGGCTGACCCATCACACAACTGGACAAAGACGACAAATTATAGCTCACCTACGCCAACTGGATAAACATGCTAACCAAACGTTTAACAAAACATTTAACAATTTAGGACAAGTAAAAAAATTCCTACTGCTGTCAAAACTGATTATGTACTATTTGAAATGTTTTTTAAAAATGAAATTGGGCCAACAGAGATTCTTAACCTTTTTGGAAGTACTGAACCCCACCAGTTTCATATGCGCATTCACCCAATCATTAATAATAGGAACAACAATATATGATTTTTTTTTCAAATTCAAAACTTAGGCATATATATTACTAATGTACAAAATCAACTGTATCAACATTAAAATTTGATTTTCTCACAAAAACAAATATTTCGTGCAAATTAGTGTGACTTCTTCTTTGCCTTTCAGATATGAGTTCAGTAATGTGCAGGTTCACCTTGAATTCAGCCAGTCATGTCTTCTTGTAGTTTCCATCTACATGCTTAATTAAGGAAGTATTCTCTTGCCTATATTATAGACTAGTATTGCAAACCATGCAGTTAGGAAGCTAATTTGTATCTGATGAGTTTGTGGCTAATTTGTATCTGATGAGTTTGTGGCTAATTTGTATCTGATGAGTCAGTGGAAGTTCCAGAATCTGTGTCAGACAGCAGCACCACTGGTGGTAGATTTTTCTTATATGGGTTGGTAGGTTTCTTGAGCATGGCTGCTGGTTTAATGTTTGTCTCTGGTCTAGTGGGTAAAGCCTGCGTGCCTGGTTTGGTGAGGTTTGTCTCTGGTCTTGTGGGTAAAGCCTGCGCGCCTGGCTTGGTGAGGTTTGTCTCTGGTCTTGTGGGTAGAGTTTCTGTGTACTTGACAGCAGGATCAGCACTGGCCTGGGTTTTGGTTGGCCTGAAACCAATGACAAGTTTTGTCAGATCTCCCATCATTTACATCCTCACTCATCCCTAGTGCACTCACTAAATACACATTACACAGTCAAGTTTGGTGAAATACTAATTCAGTTGACTAATAATAGTAACGAGCCGACCCGCGGCATATCATACGCCGCTATTTAGTTGTTTTCTACTTTTCAGTCATCCATAATTTGTGAATTCGACAGTACCAATGCTGCCACTGAAAATATTTGCTTTAAAACACTATCAGTAGTATCAGTAGGTCGTTAAGAACGATACTACTACCCACACTGTCCTTTCCCCCTACCCTACACCCCCCCACCCCCAGTGAAAGCAGCCTCCTCTTAGTTACCTCCCCTAAGTTTAAAATAGTTTCAAACTAAATTATCTGCCTCTAATAGCCGTCACTAAACCCGGCTCTAGGATTGTAAACATTTAGCGTGAACCACAGCTCACCAGACCATGTAAGGGTGGGGTGTTAGGGAACGCGCTTACAGCTTGTTTTCTAGCGTCTCCAAGAAGAGAATTATATATATAGATAATTGAAATGTTTACTTCTACACATTACACAGTCAAGTTTGGTGAAATACTAATCCAGTTGACTTATATTAATATTAGTAATAATTGAAATGTTTAATTCTACTGGTTGGGGTTATTAGTTGAAGAATAATTTTAAAATATAGGCCATCCTACTAGTATAAAACGAGCTAATGTTATTTTCTACTGGCTACTAGAAAAGGGGTTGGGGTGTGTAATATATATATATATATATATATATATATATATATATGAGATACAGATGAGTTAGACATTTTCCCGAAAGATACCTTGCCTGTATGCAACAAATGCCTGAATGGACACTTACCCAAATGAGACACTTTCCTGAATGAGAGAATTACCAAAATTAATGGACACTTGCCCGAAAGCCGTTTACCTTCAAAAATATATATTACTAATTAGACATTCAAAGGCCTTTGTGCCTACAATTGTAACCGTTTTTTGAATAAATTTGAATTAAATTTGAATTTCTTAATA